CAGCTACCCTCTGGAATACAAATGGCAGAAAACCAAACATGTTAAAACGTCATGTGCACTTGACAGAAGCAAACCATGGCTGATTTAAGGCGATTGGAGTGTTTTATAGTGATTTTTAGATCCATATCTATTAACTTAGTTAACATACTACAGTAACCTTGCCAGGTGCCCACTTTCCAGGTGAGGAAGCAGGATCAGAAAGCTCTTCATAAAGATCCCTGCCATACAAGTATCAATGATCACTGCCCTTTATATGCCTCCTTCCTGGCAGGGTTTGGGGGTGGAAGTGGGGGGAGGATGGAGAGAACAGTCACTGAAACATCAGAGTAGTTGAGTAATAAAAATAAACACAGGTGTATTGCTTTCAAGTTTTACAGTGACATACATAGTCTTAATTGTTTCTTAGTTTAATTATTTGAACCAGTTGATTGCACTAACTAGATGTAATTATATAAAGTATTTAGATGAGCATATTGATTTTTACAAATAAGTCTGAGTTACTGAGGGTATTTAAAAATACTGAAGGAACTTTTTAGGATATACTTATTTAATTTGCAAGGTTTTTATCGTACAGTCTTTTTAAAAAGTAAAAAAGCTCCAGCCCCTATCCTAAGTATTATCTGATTTAGGCATACCTAAATTTTATTTACAGATGGATAATTTTTCATTTTGTATGCATATTAGATGAGAAAACACTTTTCATAGAGTATATTTCTATTCATGAATAACTATTACCAGCTTGATATTCTCCCAAACCTTATGGAACAACTTTGAAATGTAATTTTTGTTTGATGAGCTTTAAAAATTATATAAATTTATTTAAACGGGTTGCTGGCATCCTTACTAGTTTTTTGCATGTGTAAATATGATGCATTTGATGGCACTGAACAGTAATTGAAAGGAGAGAGCAGGACCCACAGTGCAGACTGGATTGAGTTTTAGTTAAACCTTTTCAACCACAACCTGATAAGAATCAGGCTGGTCTAGAAGTACTCAGACTGTGGGCTTGTATTAATTTTGTGAGCCAGTGTTAATGTTTACTGCCAGCCTCACATAGCAATGCCAGTTTGCTGCCGCAACACTATATATAACTTTTGGTAACTATATCTAAAACAGTTTAGATTTTATGGATGTGACTTGTGATTATTGGGACAAGCAAGGTAGGTAAATTTCAGTTACATTTAAAGTGCAATTAAAAAAATTCTAGAGCAGAGCTCTCTTTACCAGAAAAAGAAAGTACAGTATTTATAGAATATCCTAGCATGAAAACTTTCGTGAGCATTTGTAGAATTTTGACCAAGTTCATACAGTTTTTTTATTTGTTTATTCAAGGTTTGCTACTTTGTTTTGATTTAACATTTCAAAGAGAAATAGGAATGGCCAACAAGAATTGCATAATTAATTTTTGCTGCTAATTTACACATGCATTTTTCATAGTTAATCCCTTTTTAAGTAAGTTTCATTATAATGAAATACCATATTTTCTAGACAAAATAACATTTTCTAAAATGAAAAATAGATCTACTGATCTAAAAAACAAAAACACCTTAATTGTGCCTTATGTTATAGGAAGAGTAAAAATTAGTCAAAAACTTGTTTAAACTGTATTTTCCTTTGTTCTAATTCCTCTCCCTGTTCCTTATATCTGCCTCCATGAATGGTCATGTTGCTGTGTGCCCTGTTTTCAGGTTACTTTGGCAAGACCTCACCCTGTCATCATCACAAGTTGGTCATTAAATTATTCTTCTATTCTTTTGTGTTGCTTCACTTTTTAAGTCACCTTGATAAAAGTTTGGCTTTCTTCTCTTGAGTGCAATGAATAGCACTCTTTATATTTCATCCCATTAAAAAGTTTGTAAAGGAAATACTGAAGAGCAAAGAACATAATCTAATTTGGAATCTTGAGCAAAGAACATAATCTAATTTGGAATCTTAGTCTGTTTGGCTGCTGTGTCAGCAGCAAGTCACATAACCTCATTTTATTTTCTCATCTATCAAATGTGGTTATAACCTACCTCACAGGTGTGTGTGAGAAACTGTTTGAAGAGCCTTGTTTAAATACAGGTTTACCCTGCTCATATTTAATGTAAACCCTCCCCCTTTTTTATAGATATCTTTGATACTGATAGAATGAGAATCTTGATTTTAGGTAAGTCTTATGTGGTAAGAATATACAGTTTCACAAATTTTTATTTTAAATGACTTTTAAAATTTATTGAAAACAGTGAATATTCAATTATAAAATTTGTCATTTGTTGCAACAAATATTCAGAACTTCTTAAAATGTTGGCTAAAGCTGCCTTAATGTATGGAAATAGAACTTTCTCAATACTGTTCACAAATCTATGTTTGTATAATGTTTTAAGTATTTTATGTAAAATTGTAATAGAAATGTAAATTCTAAGCATAGTAAATTTAATATTGTTTTAGGAAGAATGTTTGAATTCTTTATCATGGATACTTAAATATTATATAGTGAGTTTCAAGTGCAAAAAATAAAACTTAAGGTATATCCATTAGGTTATATCCTTGACATTCATAAGAAAATGTAAGATTGGATATTAAGTTTTTCCCCAAGAACACACCTCACTCATTCTTTCTTACCCCATCTTTGAAAAAGAAAGAACACACACACACACACACACACAAAATACAAACACACACCCCCACACAAAAAAAAACAACACACAAAAAACACAAAACACTCCATAGGCTAATACATTAAATGTTTGAAGCACTTGATTACATATCTATTAAAAAATTTTTTAGCTGTTCAAATTACTTTTTATAATTTGTTTCAGGAAGAAAAAAAAAGAGACCGGATTCCCAGTGCTTTTGTATTTTAATAACCATAGATTCAAATTTCATTTTTGTTATGAAATTTCGTGAGTATTCAGTGACCAGTGGGAAGGATGTGTCTTCCAGTAGCCATGTGGTAAAGATGTCTTCTTGAATTACACAGCATTTCATAGTTACAGGCTCACCTACTTAATATGTGCACTGTACAAACTAATAATAGAAAAGCAGCATATCTGATTGCTTTATAAGCTTTTTTTCATTTTTTTTCACAAAATCAAATTAAACTCTGGTTAATTTGAAAGCTCTTTTTTGTTTCTGTTCAATTATTAAAAGAATATTTTGCATGTTAGGTAATGGTTACAGAGAAAGCTATTGTAGAAAAGGATTGTGAGACCTTGGAGACTTCATACCATCTTTGTCTTTGTTATATGTGGTAGTTCCTAATCTTAGCCATTGTATTAATTTTCTGTTGCTGCCAAAACAGATTACTACAAACTTAGTGGCTTAATGCATTTTTTAAATTATTGAGGTAACATTGGTTAATAACATAACTTTCAGGTGTACAATTCAATGTGTACACTATAATATGCTCACCACCAGAAGTCTAGTTAGTCTTTTTGTCACCATATATTTGATACTCTTTTTTGCCCTCACTGCATCTTACTTTTCTCTTTGGTAACCACCAACCTGTTATCTGTATTTATGAGTTTGTTTTTTTGTTTTGTTGGTTCATTCATCTTTTGTTTTATATTTCTAACTTTATTTTATATTTTATAAGTGAAATCATATGGTTTTTGTCCTTTTCTGTTTGAATAGTACATTTAGCATAGTGCACTCAAGATCCACCCATGTTGTTTCAAATAGCAATATTTTATGTTTTTTTTATGGCTGAGTAGTATTCTATTGTGTGTGTGTGTGTATATAATCTTTTACAATTATACTAGAGGCCAGGTGCACGAAAATTTGTGCACTTGGGGAAGGGGTAGGAGTTTCAGTGCAGCAGAACTGGGGTTAAGCACATCCAGGAGCTTTTGTCTCCTTCCCGCTAGAGAAAGTCAGAGGCACTCAGCCACATGTGTGCTTGTCTCTCAGCAGTCGTCCTCCCTTTGCACACTCGCATACACGCGCATCCAAACCTCTGCCTTTTGTGGCTCCCCTAAGTTTCTGCTTGACAATCCAGATTCCCCCCCCTCCCCCCATAAGCCTGGGTACCCAAGGTCTTACCCAGAACTGGGGTTCAGTGCAGTTAGGAGCTTTTGCTTCCTTCCCGCTAGAGAAAGCCAGCCAGGCACTCAGCTGCCTGCATGTGTGTCTCCATACCTCAGCCTTTTGCAGCTCCTCTGATTCTTCATGTGCTTTCCTTTTTTCTTCTAGTTGTAGAATTTTCACTCAGCCAGCTTTCTTGTGGTTCTGGATGATGTTCGTTTTGTCTTTTAGTTGTAGTTTTGAAATTGTTGTGTCAGGCAGCAGTTTAAGTGTTTACCTATGCCGCCATCTTGGTTTCTCTCCTAGCCATTTTTTTCAAGTCTTAAGATTTGAATTTCAAAACACATTTGTTTTCAACATCTTTCAACCTCAGAAAAGGCTAGCTACTGAAATAACAGCACTTATACAGTATTCTGTATTAAAGATTTTAGGACACTTTTATTTATATTATTACAGTGTAGCCTGACAACAACCCCTGTGAAGTAGACAAGGTGAGTGTTATTAGCTGTTTTACTAATGAGAAAATTGTGACAAAGCAGAACACTTATACCTTGAGCTGTACTGGTAATTGTACTTTGAGTATAAAACGGTTGCACTATGTATTTTGGAATTAAATTACACACAGTTTAAATGTACAGCATCTTTTAGAAATTATAAACACTTGTGTACTCATATTAGAGGCACACTAAAATCTGTACAACTGACTAAGTAGCGCCATAGGCATGATTGCTAACTTCAGATGTGGCTAATTGAATAAGTGCTCAAATGCTAACACACACTTTCCCATTCTCTGAACCAGCAGTGAAATAGACATGGAAAGATAACCTTTTGGGAGTAAGATCAACTAAATGTGGAGTATTTGTTTGTTTTCTGAGTTCCTAATGAATATTTCCACCATCTCATGTTTCCACCATTGACATGCTAACTGATGGGAGCAGGATCAATATCCCAGAACTGGTTCTCACTTGTGCACAGTACACTGGATGTGGATCTTTCTAAGGTGAACAACCTTGAGGCCTAAGAAAAAATAGGAAAATATTTTGAAATGTAGACAGTGGAGTAATTGAGCAGGAGATTTCTGGGGCATTTCTTACCCCCTTTAATATTTGTATGTGCCTTTAAAATGTTTCTAAATATGCTCTGTAGAGCTGGATAACATACTCAGGAGACAATAATCCTACCTAATAAAAGAGTAATATGCAAATTAACTATCACTCCACTACACCCACCAGCCACGCCCACCAGCCAATCAGCAAGTATGCAAAGACCCAACCAAGATGGCTACAGCCACAGAGAGTAGGAGAGAGGCTTGGGTTTCCCAAGCAACGGAGGAAGCCAACCTTTCTGCCTGCCCTTGCCAGCCTAAGCCTCTACTCAAGGCTACAAAGTTTCAATTATAAAAGGTAAACAAATCCAAACAGAAATGGTGGCAGCCATGGAGCTGGAGAGAGCAGGAGGCTAGGGTTGCCCCTGGCAATGAAAGAAGCAAAGCTTTCTGTACTCCCTGGCTGGCCTTAGCCTCCAATCCAGGCTACAAAGTTTCAATTATAAAAGATACATAAAACCCAACAGAAATGGCTGCCGGCCATGGAGCGAGCAGGGTACTTGGCTCTACTCCAGGTTGCAAAGTTTCAATTGTAGAAGGTAAATAAATTTCAGATACTAGGGCCTCTGCTTGGGGTGCCAGGGGACATGGCTGGCCTGCAAACACCACAGGCCCCTCCCTCAGGCTGCCCCATACCGCAAGGGAACCCCCACTCTGATCCGGGACACTCTTCAGGGCAAACCAGCTGGCCCCCCACCCGTGCACCAAGCCTCTATCCTATCTAATAAAAAAGTAATATGCAGATTGACCATCACTCCAACACACAAGATGGCTGCCCCCAGCTATTCGAAGATCCTGCCATCATGTGGACACAAGATAGCCACCACAAGATGGCCAGCAGAGGAGGGCAGTTGGGAGGGATCAGGCTTGCAAGGGAGGGCTGTTGGAGGCAATCAACCCTGAAGGGGAGGGCAGTTAAGGGTGACCAGGCCGGCAGAGGAGGGAAATTTGGGGCAAACAGAATGGCAGGGAAGCAGTTAGGCATCAATCAGTCTGGTAGCATAGTAGTTGGGGGTGATCAGGCTGGCAGGCAGAAGCGATTAGGAGCAATCAGACAAGCAGTTGGGAGCCAGCAGTCCTGGATTGTGAGAAGGATGTCCAACTGCCCGTTTAGGCCTGATCCCACTAGACAGTCGGACATCCCTCAAGGTGTCCCAGATTGGAGCGGGTGCAGGCTAGGCTGAGAGACACCCCCCCTCCATGCACAAATTTCATGCACTGGGCCTTTAGTAGACAATAATAAAGTCTCTTCCAAAGTAATCCTTATAGAATAGGGTGTCACATATCTATTTTTCAGATGTTTTCCTGAATTGTAAATAAATTCAGTAGTGTTTCCTTGAAACAAATGTATATAACAATGTGTTAAGTGTTTAGAATTCATTATTTGAAGTATAAAATCACACAACTTACTTGAAATGTAGATGTTCAATGAGCACATATCCATCTATAGAAACAAAAGTCACTTGTAAGTTATAGAGATATGCTTTGAGATTTTTTTTTTAAAACATTGACATTTTGGGGGCAATAAGTCAATAACTTACATTTGCCTTTAGAATTTCGGCATATCACTAGATTTTCTTCAGTGACATCAATGACGTCCAGTTCTTCTCCAGGGGCTATTGGCAAATCAAAGATCCCATTTCTTGAATTCCTGGAACATGCCACTGCTGTGTTGATGACAGTAATCTCTTTATCATACTGGAATGAGAAATCACTAATCAGACTGTGCTTGCATCGTTTTCCTTTCATTATAATAAAACCAATGGATGAAATAATATAGTAGTAACGACAAAATAAACTCAAGATGCTAGGTATTAATTTGTTAAGGGAATAGAAAATAATAGCAAGACAATCACTAAAAGAAAAGTTATTTAAGGAAATATTGGTAAAATGTCACAATCTTATATTTACTTGTTGTGATCGAATTTTCATTGTTTTCCTTAACATCCATTATCTAATTGTGCTAGAATGCATTCTGGTGAATGAGAATGCTGTAACATAGTTATACATTAAATACTGTGGATGTTAATCATTCCAAACCCAGGAAAGGAGAAGTTTACAAAAAAGGGTGGAAGTTGGGGAAAACCCTCTTAGAATTTATAATGTTCTTATGTACCCTCCACTCTTCCTCTCTTGGTGGATTTATATATTTCTATATATAGCTTAAATAGTAAGAATAGGTGCGGGGGCAATTCCCACTCTCCTTCTGTGGTCAAAGACAGGCATTTGTGGGAAAAGAAATACCTCTCAAATCTGATTGATATTGATTGAGCAATTCAGTATTTGACATTATGGGTAACTAGCTGGCCTATACATTTATAGGTTCATCACCCTCTAAGTATTGAGATCCCCTGACTGAAAAAAAAAATGTTCCAGAATATATAGTTTATATTGACAGGTGTCACTTTACCAAATTTGGGTGGCCAAACCTCCCTTTGCTCAGGACAGTGTTTATTTACAGATACTTATTATTTAAGATGAGGTATGCCTCCTTCCACTCTCAAATTCTTAATTTGGATGATGAATTATAAGATCACTCTACACCAATTGGGATCTGATCCATGAGATTTGTCTTACAGAGTAATGGCTTCTTAAGTGATATCTTACCCTTTCTAGGCCATTGTTCACTGTGAGTACACAGTAATTTCCTCAAATGAAAATCAGATTAGGTCACCATTCTTCACTGCTTTCAGGATGAGATTAACATGTTTTAGCTTGATATTCAAGGTCCTTTGCACGTTGTCATTCCCATGCCCCAATTTCTATCCCTTTTATTGAAGCCACATCAAGCTATATGATAATCCTGAATATACTACATACTTTTCATATTTCCATGCCATTGCTCATGCTGTTTTCTCTGCCTGGAATACCTTCCCCCCCCTCCCCACTCTTAACCTCCCTTCATAAAGACTTTCATCATTTACTGTTCTAATTGCATTTTGAATATATACTCCTGTTACAGCATTATAATAAACATTTGTCCTATAAAATGAGAGTGTAAGGTAGTTTTATTCATCTTGTACCTTCAGTGTCTGGCACAAATAGTTTATTATTTGAGCTGAATAAAAGTTATTGAAATGGCATATTTTTTTTTCTAATGGGATATCAAGGAAGACTACCATAGGCAATGAGGAGGGATGAAATTATACACATATGAAAAATGGAATTTCTGTCCCATCTGAGTCCAAATACTCTGTGTGTGTGAGTGTGTGTGTGTGTGTGTGTGTGTCACGGGGGGTCGGGGATGGGGGTGTAGGAAGATCATTAGATGGGATGTCTGGGGTTTTGTCAACAAGAAGTTTTACTGGTTTTTCAACTATGACAATTTGCAGGAGACAGTTTCATGCCACAGTTTAATAGTATGAAACTGTGTACAGCAAATTCATGTGTCGTCATGACATGAAGAGTTGAATATGCCACTTTACAGAGCCTTAAACTTTACCCACCTGGTAATGGGGAACTTTTGAAAGTTTTAGGCAGAGACATAACTTGTACAAATTTTATGAGCAGAATGCACACTCTGTCTCTCGCAGTCCAGGGACTGGCACATGGGAAGTGTTCAGTAAGTACCTAAGTTAATAAATTCTTACTGTGGTCATACATAAAGCCAGAAGGTAGGATTGCTCGATTTGTTTGGAATTATGGAATAATGCCACGGACTCAGTGTCAGGGTAAGAGGCCAAGAGCTGCAGAGACTTCACCCAATTCTTCACTGTTTATGTATTTGTCCAGTGTCTCACTCGTTCACTGAACAGTATGTGACCAGTTTATGTTGGGAGCTGGGGAGCAAATCTGTGATAAAAATCTCACCTTCCAAAGGGACTCAGGAATTTTAGTTCCCAATGGGCATGTGCGCATAGGTTGTAACACCATTGATCTATGTAACGGGTGTGTGTGTGTCATGTGTGTGCTGAAGGAGTGACTTCACCTGGAGGAATTAGGTAAGAATGGGTGACATCTGGACTGAGCACCTTAGGAGTTTTTCCAGGCAGAGGAACTAGCATATACAAAGGCATGATAATCCAACAATGCATCAGGAAATCATAAAATACAAGCTTTTTAGTCAGAAATCATGTCTTAGGCAGGGGTGCAACATCCTTTCAGAATCTTTATAAACAGAAGTTTCTAGCCTATAATGTTACTGTTTTTTACCTTCAGAGGAGAACATACCTCAAATCTTTCTCTAAAAAGTTTTTCTCTTTCCATTCTCTTTTCTAAGTTTTGCTTCTTGGTTCTGAAGAAATTCCTAGGCGATAAACTGGCAAGAAAAATGCAGGTAGGGTTGAATGTACTATCCTATATAATAAAGGGTAATATGCAAATAGACTGAACGGGACCCGTTGCTATGACATGCACTGCCCACCAGGGGAGCAGACAACAGAGCAGCTGCCCCTTGGTGGTCAGCTAACTCCCACAGGGAACCGCTGCTCAGCCACAAGCAAGGCTGATGGTTGGCATGCGCAGTGGCTTGCCTCTATGGCAGTGCTAAGGATGTCCGACTGTGGCTTAGGCAGGGAGCGTACTTAAGCTTCAGTCAGACATCCCCCGAAGGCAGCCGGACTGTGAAAGGGTGCAGGCTGGGCTGAGCAACCCCCACAACGAATGTCATGCACCAGGCCTCTAGTATAAAACTCTTTAAGTTTCTAAATTTGTAGAGTTGTCCTATTTCAGTAAAAATTTAGTAATTTTTTTGTTTATAATTTTATATACATTTTACACACAAACCACAGCACATTGTCAAAACAACTGAACCAAACAATATCAGTTCTTTCCCCCTTCAATTAACCATTTTTTTAACAGCAAGATAACCTTGAATAACATCTAATTGGTTATAAACAATTTGCCCTAGCCAGTTAGGCTCAGTGGATAGAGAGTCAGCCTGCAGACTGAAGGGTTCCAGGTTCAAGTCCAGTCAAGGGCACATGCCTGGGTTGCAGGCTTGATTCCCAGTAGGGGGCATGCAGGAGGCAGCCAATGAATTATTCTCTCTCATCATTGATGTTTATATCTCTTTCTCCCTCTCCTTTTTCTCTGAAATCAATAAAAATATATTAAAACAATAAAAGAAAAACAAGTTACATGAGAAATTTCTCTGAATCAGATTCTCTGAAAGAAGAAATCTACAGAACATTATAAATATTCTCACTCATCCTCAGATTAATGGAAACCAGTTAGAATAAATGGCTCACATATTGTGGTTTTCCAAGTTTTGAAACCTAATTGGGGAATCAATCAGAGATCTATCCAGTTTGCTGAATTATTACGGAGAAGAGAGAATTATGAAAATAAAGCAAGATGCCACAAAATATATGCAACAATTTCAGGACATAAAAGTGGGTAACCCTACAATAGAGGCTGACTATACTTTTACTTCCTTTTCCTCCCTTCTGCTCTTCATTTGTGGGTTGGAGCTGGATTTTAGTTGGTTAATGTACTGACAGAGGCAAACAGTTTCTACCGGTTTTATTCAGAGGCATTACTTACATGTTTCATTCCACAATCACTGCCATCTTTTAGGCAATGACAGTTCTCATCTTATATTCAAGGTCCTTTGCACATTGTCATTTCCCCTCTGGTCTTTCCTTCTGCGAATCTACCTGCAGACTTGTCTTCAGTCATCTTTCTAAAATTTAATTGACCGCCTCTCTCTTGTTTCAACCTTTGAATCTGTCTCTACTGCCTCAGAGATGAAGTCCTAGTCCCATGGTACATGGAACACTTCAGAATCTGGCCATAGTCTACCTTCCAGGTGCCCTGTCCCTGCTACATGCAAAGTCCACATGGGGTGTCTTACAGGTGGGCTATCCTATCCAGAACTTTAGACCTGCCACATCCTTCCCAGCTTCATTGAAAAACGTGCCAACTTACATTAATAAAGGGCTAGTGAAAGGTCTGTACTAATATGGAAAGCATTTTTTATTGGTAGAATAAATTGGTAGAAATTATTCAAAAACAGAATCAAGAGCACATCCATCTACAGGAATAATGATAACATCAACATATCACATTTTAAAATTTACCATATTTTCAAATTTATTGAGTTGAGAATAAAAGTAAACTATTATATCAGTGTGTTGTAAGAACTAGAAAATAGTTTCCTAAAAAGACTCACATGCAGTCATTAAAATACTAAGAAGCTTTCTGTGGGGGATGGGCAGTAAGAAATTCTATTTCCTCTCTTGGAATTCTGTCTTGTTATGCTATGAAGTTGAAAGTGGGAAATGCTTTCTAGTCTGTGAATACATCTTTCCTACTTGGGAAAAATAAATTACATCAAGTCTAAACCCAAAGAAAATAAATTTAAAGGAAGGGTCATTGTATGTTGTCCTCCGAGTTTAAATTTGGTATAGACTAATGTCTTAGTTCTTTTGGGGTGGCCCTTTGTAGGACTTTTCTAGACAGCTTTTCCAATGCAGACAGACCATACTATGTTCCCAACATAATGACTATTTAGACAAGGATTTCCCGAAGACATTGGTTAAGCAGTGGGCCTCAGATCTGCCCCATCTCCTAGTAACTGAGGCGAAGGCTGGGGCACTGAGCACCAAGACAGTGAAAAACATTGCTTCCCCCTAGTCCCCCATATCCAACTGAATCACATGAGTGAAGGTTAGATTTTGAGTTGATAAAACAGTTTTTGTTTGTTTTTTTGTAAATTAACACTAATGTATACATAACTAGAATTATATTGTATTTTAAAGTCAGTCTTACGATATGATGCCTGGTTTCATATATGTTCAGACTGGTATATTACATAAGGTTTGTCTTATAGGGGGAAGATCTTTTCAGCCATAAAGAAGACTGGAAGGTTTTTGCTGTTTGATAAGGGCTGGTTTGAAATCTTCCCTCACTCCCCATTCACCAAAAGCAGAGATGATAAAGATAAATGTGTGCTGCTCTTTACATGTTCATATTCTGTGTCTCTTCTAATCCCCTCAACTGTACCCTAATTTAGGTGTTATAATTCTCATTGTGCAGATGAAGAACCTGAAAATCAAATGTCCTGATGGCCTAAGTGTATGCAGCTGTTGAGAGGTATAGCATGTAGAGCTGTAAAGAGGCATACCTGTGTACTTACCTTTCTGATCCTTGAGCATCTGTCTTCTCTTTTTTCCCCTTTGGTTTAAATAACTTGGGCTTCCAAGATTTTACTTTATCTTCATCCCTAAAGAGAAAAATATTTTTGAGCAAGTCAATTAAGATGGAACTAAAACAGTTGTGGAACCATTCGTACTTTCTGGGTAATTGTTTTACAAAAAATATTTAAAAGTTATCTAGAAGTATATTTTGATTCTATGGCAACCTCAGATAGCAAATATTTTAGGTTTTGCAAGGCCTAACATCTCTGGGGTAACCACTTAACTTGGCCAGTGTGACTGTATTATCCAAAAATCAAGTGGCTGGCTATATTTAGCCCACAGACCACAGAAAGCTGACCCCCTGATCTGTGGCAATCCACTTTGGAAACCAGCAGCAAGCGATCAACCTGCTTGTAATTATACTTTCTCTCCTTTCTGAGCCTCAGTTTCTGTGCCTCTAAGATTTGAATAATAACATTAACCTCTACGATGAAAAAAAACGAATCCAACTTGTGCTTAGCATTATCAGGGAAGAAATCTGGGAGAGAGAGGGTATTGTAGAAAGAACTGACACTTTCTGAGAACCTATGTACCAAGCCTTATGCTTTTACATGTTAACTGACTTGTCGCAGTAAGCATCCATTAAAGTAATCATTCATAAAGGGTTACAAAGGAGGAAATAGTGATCAGAGAATATCATAGTCACAGAAATAGTGAATTTTAACCCAGGTGCCTTTGCCTCAAATCTATGGCATACCTGCTTCAAAACATGTTTTTCTGTTTGTTTTGTTTTGTTTTTTTCCCCCCCTTTCTTTCTGGTATGACAAGATTACCAGCATCTCCATCATTAATATGAGAAAAACGGATCCTATTCTGTCAACCATCTGGTGTCTGCACCTCTGAACCTTAAATAACTCTTCGTCGGGTAAATGAGAACCACAGGCTATTATGTCACAGGGATTTTTGAGATTTTCAGAGACCTTGTGTCACCTTTCCCTTCGGATTATGGTCACAGGTGTCCAACATCATGTCAAGGACTCAGCATTTGACTGGCTAGGAAGATGAAGCTTAGAAAGTCTTTTAAGAAGCCTTCCAGGACTTGTGGAGGGAGCTCCAAGCCCTCTCTTCTTTCAACATCTGTTGCCTTTGAAGTCTACAATATGGAGCTCAGTAATCACTGTTTTTCTGTCTACCAGCCAATTGTTTCATCTCTCCTCTTCAGATTCCCAGAAAATGGGATCCAACCATATATTTCAGTGTGTCTATGTCAGGCAAACAGCAATGCTTGGTAAGAATGGGCATGGCTGTTTGGAAGGGGCTATAGCTGTGGGGTCAGGGAAGGGACAAGGCAAGTGCCTACTTAAAAGCTTATCTTCTTTACTGATAATAAAGTAATATATTCTGAATATTTAAATAACGAAGCAGAAGTAGAAAAGAGAACATAAGCATGATCTGACCTTTTAAGAACATTTTAGTTTCCTTCCAAACATTTTTCCAAATCCTTTCATTCTGATACATACAATTTTTCATTCTGCTATTTTTTTAGTTGTCACAGTGAAAGCATTTCTCCATGTCATTGAAAACTATTTAGTATATATTTAACACATATGTTAACGTTTATGTACAGTGCTATACTATAATCTATACATATAAAAGCCTAAGTGACTGGCTGACTGGCCAACCAGCTAGTAGCTATGATGTACAGTGACCCATCAGGGGGCACTCAATACAGGAGTATAAAGCACAGGCATGGAAACATGGTACAGACTGATGAATCTTAGAGGGGGGGGGGGGAGAGTGGGAAGAGATTAACCAAAGATCTTATATGCATACTAGAGGCCCAGTGCACAGATTAGTGCACTGGTGAGGTCCCTCAGCCTGGCCTGCAGGGATTGGACTGAAATTGGCTCTTTGACATCCCCCAAAGGGTCCCAGATTGTGAGAGGGCACAGCACAAGCTGAGGGACCCCACTGATGCATGAGTCTATGCACAAGGCCTCTACTATACTTATAAAATCATTGTCTATTTGGGTGGTTTTAAACATCTAATTTTTATAAATAACCATGACACAGATTTTTTTTTGCATAATTTGTTTTTTATGTGTTTTTGTTTTCTTTCTTTTTAGTAGAGCTAGTTGCTTGCAATAAAATTACTGGGTTAAGTAAAGAGTCTGGGCATTTCAGATACACATTGCCAAATTATCTTCCAGAAAGATCACATCATTTTATACCCATGCTAACCATGTGAACGTTATGGTCAACTTTTTGCCTCCTTGTCAACTTATTTTTGCTTTCCTAGGGATCAAGTTAGAAAGCTTAATGGATTTGGCAGGATAAAGACTGCTATTGCCACATAACAGGTTAGGAAATTCAGGTTCAGAGAAGATGACATGCCCAGGTTTCACTGGTGCCAGCCTCCTTTTCAATTCGCCCTGTCCCTTCTTTTGCTGACTTTCTAGGAGATATTCTGATGAACAAAAGGCAGTGAGACATAAAGCAGAGGTCCAGATTACCTAGCTAGTGACAATCTAATCCAGAGTGCTTTGGGGTACTCCTCAACAGAATACCCACCAGGACATGACATGCAAACCAGCCAAGCTTATAAGAGCTCAAATACCATCTTCACTTGCTCTTTTTCCAAATTCTGCTACTCTCCATCAGTGTCCTGTCTGGAACAGATGTTTTTTATAATTGGTTTCTCTGAGGCCACACAGAAGATTTACTGTGACATGAAAATCAGTCAGACTCTGTTGGGCCTAAGTAGTTTGATCAATATCATTTGTTCATAAAATATTCCTCATGTACCTACCATGTCTTATGTGCTATATCAGGAGCTGGGTAATGGAGATGAAGATGATATGGTTTCCACTAGAGGTATTAACTATTTAATAAATTCCACTTAAGTCCTCTGAAATAATTTCTTCTTCATTCTTTTCACCACCCTAGGGTACATTTTGTTCATCTTTCAGCTGAATGATTCTAATGATAATTTTTTTTTTAATTTGGGAAACATTTATTTTCCCACATCACCAGTCATTGTTATGAGTAGCACAGCACTACAGAGTGTCTCTTACATCCTGTGGAGAACATCAAGCAGGTCACAGCATTATGAGCTCCTGGCTTTGGTCCCAAAGCTTTCCCTGAAATAACCTCAGTAATAACATGCTAACATATGTTCTACTCTGATTTCCTCTGCAGTGTTCCATGGAAGGCTGGGTTACTCCCAAAAGGCAGCTCTGATTGTATTGTCCTCCTGTTCAGAATTCTGCCCATCCTCATTTGGCAGCAGAGAGTAAGGAGAACATTCTGAACGGCCCTCCAAATTCAAAATGCTGGATCCTGGATACTGTTTTTTTTTTTTTTCTTCCTCCTTTTGTCTTAAATCACTAAGGACAATACCTAGTATATTAATAGCCCCACAAATCAGCTGAAACCAGACAGAGAACAGTAAGCTATATGCAAGCATAGAAGGCAAGTCTGTCCTGAGTAAAATGCTAGTTTCAGTCCCACTGCATTCCAGAAGACTGAAATTTAGGTCAAGGACAAGGTAAGAAATAAGACATGATATTGGATTTTTAAAAAGTTTTTTATTTTATAGAGGAAGGGATAGGGATAGAGACATAGAAACATGAGACACATTGATCAGCTGCCTCCTGCACACCAGCCCACAACCTGGGCATGTGCCCTGACCAGGAATTGAACTGGGGACCTCTTGATTAATGGGTGAACACTCAACCACTGGGCACCACCACCAGCTAGGCCATACTAGATTTTAAAAAAAGCCAAATTCAGTTCTATGTTATTTATATGAGAAACAATGAATATGAATATGCAGAACAAAATTAAAAGATCCAACATGTATACTAGGGAAATACTAATGAAAATATCAGGAGGCATATAATATTGGGCACATAACTTTAAGAAAGAGAATCTCTAGGAGACACTAGTGAGGAACACTAGCATTGTGAGCCTGGGCAGGTGGCTTAACCTGTGCCTCAATTTCTCTTCTATAAAATTTGTATAATAGTGTCTACCTCAGAGGATTGTTGTGAGATTGAATAAGTTAATGCATATTAAATATATGAAACAGTGACTAAACCACAGTAAAAGCTATATACATATTTTTATTAATAGTATTAGGGATAGAAATGGTTACAACATAATGAAGAAACATTTAATTTACTAGGATAAATTTTAAATTTTATATGCAATTAATAAAATAGAATATAGAAAGCAACAAATGCTAAAACTTTTAGAAGAAAATGAAAATTTGCCATCTTTGTGTAATATTTCAACAAATTTCAAATGTTGATGAATCAAGGATCTAAAAAGCCATTTTTATGGAAGATTTTTAATAAAAAAATTAACACATACTTGATTTAAAGTATATAAATTTATCCCTGTATAAAAAAATTAGAGAACTCAAAAAAAGAGAGGAAAGTAATATATTTATAGTGTTCACATAGAACATTTATAAAAATTGACCATATACTTGGCATAAGTCATGCCTCAGAACATGTTAAGATACTGATATCAATTACTGTCTCAGACCACGATGTGCTGAAGATAGATATGACAATGGAAGGATCAGAGAACATGGAAACAGGTCTCCAGCTATTGGACATTTAGTGTGACAAAGGTCGTGTTGTAGGTCAATGAGAAAATAGAGGCAATCCGGCTAGGACATTTATTCACATGGAAGAAAATTTAATTAGATCTCTACTTCCCTATAAATACAAAAATCCATTCCAGACAGATCTAAGGTTTAAATGTAAAAGGTAGAACTAACAGTTTTAGAAGATAAGGGAGAATATCATATAACCTTGGGACAAATACTTCTTTAAGAGATAAAGCAACAATCACAAAGAATAAATTGATAAATTCAAACACATTAAAATTAAGCACTGTGTTCATCAGAAGCAATAAGCTTGCCAAAAACCTGTTTTTTAGTTACATAGTGCCCCTCCTGTCAAAGTGTTACATATCCTTCTACTTCACCTTGGCACAGAGACTTGCCTGATCCCCCAAATAATGTAAGTGGTACCTACTCTGAGCTTCCAGATCATTTTGCTCATTTTTATTAAAGCAGGTCCCTTGTTACATAAATCAATTGTTTTGGTATAAGGACACATGATATAGATTGGAAAGCCACAGTCCTTTCCTTAGGGATCTTTCATTTAGAGGAGGGGACAAGCAAGAAATAAGACCACTACTTATTTCTCAGAGGATAATGTTCTGGTTAAGGAGGTATATCTAACCCAAATAGACAAGGTCAGAGAGGCTTCCTGGGAAAATCTAATTCCGTTGTAGTAAATAATGATGAGTAAAGTAGCAACCAGGCAAAAAGCATGGCAAAGTATTATAGGTAGACCAGTCTTCTTAAATTTTCACCCCCTGCTAGAGGTCTCTTCAATGATCTACTCTAAAATGACTATCAGTCTTCTCTCAATACAAACACACCTTATGTTCACTCTCTTTCAAAATTTCCAAACAACCAAATTCCAATTTGAAATTATGAATTTATTTTTATTAATTTATCTGTCTCTGATCAGACAGGAATATAAATTATATCTATTTTCACTACTGTGTATCCTGACACATAGTACATACTCACTACATACCTGTTGAATGAACTGGAACAAATGAAGTTGGAACAAATATGAAGATTTAGGAATGCTAGACAACTGGTTGAGTTCAAGGAGCTCCAGGTAGTATGGTATGGATGGAACACTGGAATGCAGGTGAGGAGGAAGTCTGGGTGAGGCAGAGAGTTTGCAAGGGGCTGGATCACTAAAAAACTGTATGTCTTTTTAAGCAGTTTGGATTTCAATCTAAAGAGTGATTGGTAACCACTCAACGTTTCAAGCTGCTGGGTGGTTGGTTTTGTGACATGATCACGTTTGCACATCAGAAAATTTGGAGAATAAACTGCAGTGGAGGTGGGATAGTCATTCAGAAAGTTGTTGGAATCCAACAGAACTACTAAGGGCCTGCGTTGTGGCTGGGCAGAGGGGATGGAGATTGGAAGTGTTTGGAGAATTATTGGAAAGAGAAGAGGGGGTGGGGCAGAAGAGGAGTTAAGGACAATGCTTAGAATTTTGGTTTGGGCAATTGAAACAGGCACCAACATAGAGATTAGGAGAAAATGACCATATTTGGATGGGAGGGTTGAGGTTATGATTTATTAGGGAATTCTGAGTTTCAAATAGAGTTAGCAGGCCTATTAGAGTGGAGGAAAGAAATCCAACCTCCACATGTAAATTTTGGTATCGTTATCATAGTGATTGCTATCAAAGCCCTAATGTGGATGAGATCATTCAAGAACATACAAAGGAAGAATAGAAGTGAAATAGGAAAGCTGAGGGACACATGATTTTGGGAGAGTTGAACAGTAGAATTAGAACTCACACAGCACCCACACAAAACAAAAAACAAAACAAAAACAAACAAACAAAAACCAAGCAGGAGGAGCCACAGCCAAAGATGAAAAATAAGAAATAATGATAATATGGAAACTTGGGGAAAAGTTAGTATTTTTTTTAATCAACAGTTTAAGATACAGTGAAATCAAGAAAGCTAAGGATTTAATGGTCTGTGCTAACTGTAACAAAGAATTATTGGCCTTACCAAAAATAAGTGGATCCGTGTAACCAGTACAGAGGTCATTGCCATGAGCTTGGTGGGAATGAGCAGAGAAGATATAAGTTTAGAGGGAAAGGATGGATATGTAGCTAGAAGGGGTGTCAAGTTTTGGGAAGTTTTCTTTTCGATAGGTTATAATTATTTAGTCTTAGAGAACTGAGGTTTTGTCAGATGGTACCTCCCATTTCTCCTGTTGCCTTGTTCACAGATGATTAAACAAATGTTTGTTGCATTAAAATAAGTTCAAGTCCCTAGATTCAAGGGTAAGAAACAGGTTCTAAAGCTCCAGTGACATTTGAACTTCCACTGTTAGAACATCTATGTTATTTATTGTTTTCCCTTCTCATTGGGAGGATGTAACAAGTTGCTTTAAAAAAAAAATATATATATATATATATATTGATTTTTTTACAGAGAGGAAGAGAAAGGGATAGAGAGTCAGGGACATCGATCAGCTGACTCTTGCACACTCCCCACTGGGGATGTACCTGCAACCAAGGTACATGGCCTTGATTGGAATCAAATGAGGGGCCTTTCAGTCTGCGGGCTGACACTATATCCACTGAGCAAAACTGGTTTCAGCAACAAGTTGCTTTTTATCCAAGATCCAAAGATGGCCGTCTGACCATATGCAACAAGACACCAGGACATGGGTTAAATACTAGGGATGAACAGAAGGTAAATGGACTTACTTTGACTCTTTTTCATTGATGTTCACATCAGGATGAATAATAACTTCCTGGGACCTAAGTTCTAGAATCAAGATAGGATCAAAACAGTCCATTATTAGTATGGTCTATACAAATCCTGGCTATTCAAATTGCACACAATTACCTAATTATCCAGGCACATCCCCAAGCCTCTTTTATCAAAACCTAATCACAGAATACAGATAGTTTGAAAGGATCAAAGAATGAGGAAGTTCTCATTTGGGAAGAAATTCAACTAAAGATTAAAAAAAACACACGTCCTCATATCTCAAATGTGCGCACACACATATTTAGATTAATTTGTTTCCAGAAATGTGAGTTGCTGAAAGGATCAGGTTTAAACTAGATTTCCATCATCCTAGACCTGGATAAAGATGTTATCATGTGGTTTAGTTGGAGCATCGTCCCCTGCACTGGAAGTTTGCAGGTTCCATTCTGGTCAGGGCATATACCTAGGTTGTGGGTTTGATCCTCAGACAGGGCAAGTATGAGAGGCATCAATTGATGTATCTCTCCCACATCGATGTCTGTCTGTCTCTCCTCTTCAACCCTTCCTCCCTCTTTTAAATCAATTTTTAAAAAAAGATGTTATAACTATTGGAATATTGAGAGGTTTTTACTTAATTCCTAAGGAAAAATATGAGTTTAATAGAATATTAATGTTGATTTTTCCTCCCATAATTTTTATTTCAAACCATTGGCAACTGATCCTTTATAATAATTTTGTATAAAATGGAATCTGACTTAGTACATAGTCATAATTAGACATGTTTATTTTAGGATATTCACATTCCTTGGTACTCTACACAGAAACCTATGATATTAAAGTGAATCACCACCTGAGTGAATTTGAGATTTACTGGCATAATTATAATTCATATTCAATTACTCATAAATTTGGATGGGATACAATTCATGTCTATTCTAAGGTGGCCCTTTTTTTTAACATAGATATTTTGGGAGACCTGTAGTTTGACCAGGTGTATGTAATCTTTTAAAATTTTGTTCAGCAAACTCATATATATGGACTATAATATATATTTGAATTGCCAAGTCACAGTGAAATTAAAGCAGCCACCATGGCTAGAGCCCACAAAATCCAACAGAAGATATTGCCCTCTTTTAATAACATTCAACTTGTGTTGAGAGCCTACTGGGTGCAAGGCACCATGCTAATTTGTGCACTATTGTTTTTTACAGCAAAGCAAACAAATTGCAATGACCCATTCTTGATTCAGCTCATGTGTGTGCTACAACATGATCATGCTCAATTTACTACATTATAACTAGGGAGATCTGGCTATTAAAACTTCAGGTGGCTGTGCGGTATAATTTGGATGCAAGAGCTTTGTAATCCAAGAGACCTGAGTTCAAATCCCAGAACATTAGAGTAGGGATGTGGATCCTAGAGCCTCTCTAGAAAGGGATGATAATAACTTCTTTTTTTCTGGGATTTTAAGAGGCCTGGAATATAGTAGGCACTTGAGAAATGATGCACATCTTCCCCAAAGTCAGTACTACTGTTGTGGAAAATTTGTTCTTTGATTTGGATGTGTCAATTTTTCATTAAATGTAGAATGCAGGCAGAATGACTGCTTCTTTTTCCCAGCCCCTGACTATGCCAATCTGTGAGGTTTTGTGCCAGAAATAAGCAAATGTCACTTACCTAAATCCGGCAGCGAAATGGAAAGCTCACTGTTAGTGGACAAAAGGCACAGAGGTTTAGGAAAGAAAGCCATGGTCAGAAAAGCACAGTGAGGCCTAGGTTTCTTGATACTGATGTTTCTAGTCAAAGATGCAGGTAGAGCTTACCTTCCCTGCATCTGTGTTCTGACCCTTCTCCCCTCTTTTAAATGAGCTTATTTATCCCAAGTGACCAGTTATACCCTTTCCTATCATACAGCTTCAGGTTGCCCCACAGCCCTGCCCTACTCCATCCAGGATTCTATTTCTGCCTCCTAAACTTCCAAGATGCCCATCAGATACACACAACCCTCTAGAGACACTGGCTATGCCTACGGATAAACTAAATGGATGAGGACAGGATTCCAGGCCAGGTGGAGCTGGAAGATGGTAAACTGCTAAGTGAGTCAGGACATTTGGCCTAGACAGATGATTGGCTTCTTAAATCTCCCAGTTAAGATCACATGAAAGGAAATATGATGTAGTAGAAAAAAATCCATGTATTTTAAGCAATTATTTGAGTTCAGCCTTACAGGCTTAGGTACTGGGTATACAAAGTGATTAGGCACAGTTTCTGTCCTGAAGTTGCTTGGAATTTAGTGAGAGAGAGGAAAAGTTAATTAATGTGACACTGAAAAAAAAATAAAAACAAAAAACACATAATAAAGACATGTCCAAAGGAACAGCACTTTGGGGAAAATCAGTTCACCTTCATGTAAGCCTCAGTTTCTTCATTTTAAAAGTGAATCCCAATGCCTATCTTATCTTACCGAGTTACTTCTAGCGATTGTGCCCAGGACACATGGACGCTCAGTGATTCTGCTGGCATGTCTATAAGACCAGACTGGGTGTGCCAGCACTGTGATGTGCAGGTTGGAGTAGAAGTCAGAGGCCATTCTCACTGGATCTTATTTATAAGGGACTGTGGTGTCATGCTAATCATCTCTGTTGGAAGCATCTAACCAGCTAGTGCCAGGGTCTGCCTTTGGTCACATTGACTGCAGGAGCCAAATACCCTCTTTCTCCACAGCCAGGACTATGATTCATAAACTCTATATTCTATTGAATCTCTTGGTCAATCTATATCCAACAGACAATTAGAGCTGCGTAACTTGGAGGCTTTATCACTGAAAAGAACTTCAAGATAGAATAACATAATTCCATGTTAGTATTTGTAACGACCTTGGAAAATTACTTTACCATTTCCTGTGCTCATACAATACAGAGCTGCATGTATATATATATACACCTATATCTCCAGATGAGGGACAGAAGTGCCTCCAGAAATTACGCGGTCTCCCTTTCGCAGTATACAATAGGAAATAGGCTGTACAGGGGCAAACACAAAGTGAATTTTCCCAGTTACACATTGAATAAATGGGAGAGCTGAAACCAGAATCCAGACTCTAGGTCTCAATCTCTTCTTATTACCAGTGAAAATGTATTCCTCCCAAACATTGGTCATTAGCAGGGTGACCTTGGAGAGTTCTTTCCAGGCCTAAGACTTGGAGATAGATGGACCAATCAGCTGAAAACTTCATCTTCCCTCTCCACACATTGCCTTTCTCAAGAGAGGCAAATAAGATTATGAATTGCAGACAAAAAACAAAACAAAAACAAAAACAAAAAAAAACACACACAAAAATAAACAAACAAAAAAAAAACACACACACAAAAAAGACAAAAACCAAAACCAAAAACAAAAAAAACACACCAAAAAACAACACACTGGAACTTGATGGAATAGGAATGCATAAAGAGCTATAATTAACAATATAATGCTTACAGATGCCAGGAGCATATGCCGAGGGTGATGCGATCAGCTTCCTTTCCGGATTTTTCTTGAGACTTCCCTCTATCCTTGAGTACTATGTATAATCTTTTCTTATCAATTTTCTATAAAGGGTCTTTGTCATTTTTCATTAACATCTGTGAGTGTGGTGCACCCAAAGATGGGAAAGAAGGAGGTAAATGATAGCCAGGGCCTTTGGCTTTACTTTCTGGTATGCTCCCCACTGTGTCTGAGAGCAGGATGGAGAGCACCTGGCTATGTGACTATGAGGCCGGCACTGCCAACTCTCTCCTGGAAAGAGAAATAAAAGAGGACTTTTTTTTTTTACCTTACATTTTCTTTCAACTTGGTTGTCTTCATCTTAAATCTATCCTTTTCTTTCTTGAAGAATCTCTGTAGTCTCTTAAGAGCTTTGCCATCTAAACTAAGAGGAATCAGAGGGTAGAAACACAGCGTTTGAGAGAGTACTAGAAATGGAAGGATGCTATAGGAAAAGGGCCAGAGGCTTGGAACACCTACCCAAGGAAGAGCAGGAAAATGCCTCACCAACTTCTCTGGTCTTTGTTTTGGTGTCAATATGAAATAGCACAAGCCAGTCAGCCATGAAGGGAATTATTATATTTCAATACAAACATTTATTTACCCTAAATGGTCTCTATTTTGCAGTTTATGGAACAAAGCCTTCCTTTTAGAGAAGATGCCTCAGGAAGCATGGTTTACAAACTATATTAAAAATAACTTATAGGAATTCCTGCTCCTAAAATTCATGTCACTGATTTTTAATTTACCAACAATGATTCATACAATAATGTTGGAACACTGACTACCCAGCTGATGAATCAAGTTTTTCTAAATATGTTCTTGGGTTGTTTTTGGGGTAGGAAGAGGGAGTGATACCTACAGGTTATTCCAACCAGCATGGATCCCCTCTTTTTCCTTAAACTCTTAAACTTCTTGCTTTTGACTATTGCTGTTTTCCTTTCCACAACATGCCCCTCATAACTAAACTTGACAAATAATGTCCACTTTTATTCTTGAAAACCATGGAATGGAGGCAAATTTTTGTTGACATTTACTTATTTCTCATTTATTTTTTAACATAATACCAAAGTCCCTACTTTGGGAGATGGATATTTTCTTAAAAGAGAAAGCAATGTAATTTGAAATTTATACCATGTGATTGTGTACAATTACTGGTGTTCTATTTATCTCCATTCTCTGTGCAAATCCTCCCTAAAGATGGTGGGGACAGGGAAGAAAGTTACTTCTTCAACTCATCATCCTAAACTAGTAGGACATGTCAAGTAGGAAGCCAAAAAAGAGAGAAACTCACTCGTTCTTTGTGGAGTTGCTCTTTGTTTTGTATACATCTTCATACGTTTCGTTACTATTTTCTTCTGAAATTAAAAAAAAAAAATCCATTCATTATAATGACAATAGTTCAGATTCATATTTAATAAAACATTATTGGATACTGACCAGGTGCTTAGGTACTTTGATCTTTCTTTTGTTTGAATAGTTGCTATTGAAACATATGTGCATATTTTTATAAGCACATGGTAAAAATAATTAAACCTTTATAAAAATAGTATATATAAATGAAAATTAATATTTGCTTCTACCCCTGAATCCAAATCAATAAAAGTTGGTTTATCAACAGTTTTCTTTCTTCTGCCTTGCCCCAACCCTTTACAGCATATTTAACATACAGCAATCAGAGCCTACTATTTATCAGACATTGTGTTGAATTCGGGGGAAATAATGGAGAACTAATTCATCTTGGATATTCTTTCCCTTTACAGCATGGCGTTAGCCTAGCCCAACACAAAAGCTTAATATACATAGATATTCTTTGAATTCACCTTGACAGTTGAGAATGTTCACATTCAGAACAGTGAGTTTAGGGGAGCTATTGAATGTCTGTGTTTATTTCTCCATCTAAAATCCTGGCATTCTAAGAAGGATAAAACAACCAGAGTAGCATCTGCTGATCCCTCCTCCATTTTTTCATTCATTCATTCAACAAATATTTTTAAAATGTTATATAAAAAGTACCTGGTATTGTGCTAGGGGTTAAGGGAAGAGAATTATTAATCAAAGAAATAATATAAATATAAAATTATAACTGACAAGTGCTATGAAAAAAAGAGACTTGTTACTCTGAGATTGTACACCAACAAGAGTGTTCACAGGGGGAGTAATGATTGAGCTGAAATCAGAAGAAAGGTCAAGAGTCATTAGGTGAAGGGGACAGGGGAGGAAAGAAAATTCCAGAAAGAGAGAGAAACCAAGATGGCAGCATAGGTAAACACCTAAACTGCTACCTCATACAACAATTTCAAAACTACAACTAAAAGACAAAATGAACATCATCCAGAACCACAGGAAAGCTGGCTGAATGGAAATTCTACAGCTAGAAGGAAAGATAAAAGCACACAAAGAATCAGAGGAGCTGCAAAAGGCTGAGGTATGGAGACACACCTGTGCGTGGCTGAGTGCCTGGCTGGCTTTCTCTAGAAAGAAGGAGATAAAAGCTCCTGACTGTGCTGAACCTCAGTTCTGGGCGAGACCTCGGGGACCCACGCTCTTATGGGGAGAATCTGGACTATCAAACAGAAACTCGAGGGAACCGTGAAAGGCAGAGATCTAGAGGCGCATGCATGAGTAAGCGAAGAGAGGACTGTCTGCTGAGTGCACCACTGGCTTTCCCTATCAGATGGGAAACGAAAGCTCCCTCACTACACTGAACTCCAGTACAGGCGAGAATCTGGAAATCCTTCTTCATTGGGGGAGAAACTGGACTGTCTGGCAGTGGGCGAAATTCAAGGGTGGCTTACTTTTAGGGTGCTTGCAGCAATTACTGAGGGACACTGAGACCCAGGGGCATCATAGGGAAGGGCTTATGGGAAGCCTAGACTGTCTGCTCAGCTCTAAGACTCTGCTCCATCCAGCACAGAGGCTTTTGCAATTTTGCAAGACTTGTCTCATAGGCTGTCTCCAACATAGAAATTCTCCCAGTGTAGACACAGCTGATCCTTACAACCAATTGGTCTGGAGGTCAATTCCTCCCAGTGATACTAACAATAATCAAGGCTTAACTACAGCAAGGCTGTACCCACAGACCACAAAGGGGTACACCAAAAATGTCCACCTCAGGTAATTGGGGAAGCTGAGCCAATGGGCCATATAGAACAAATAGCATACAAAGCTACCCTACCAACACAGGAAAGCAGTGAAAATGCAGAGACAAAGAAACAGATCACAAACTAAAGATATGGAGGGAAACAAATGACTGGATATAGAGTTCAAACCCATGGTTATACGGTTTTTTAAAATTTCCTAGAAAAGGCCCATAAATTTAATGAGACCCTTGAGGACATGAAAAAGGACCAACTAGAAATTAAACATACATTTATTGAAATAAAAAATAATATACAAAGACACAACAGCAGAATAAAGGATCACAAGAATCAAGTCAAAGATTTGAAATACAAAGAAGCAAAATATATTCAACCAGAAGAGCAAAAAGAAAAAAAGAATCCAAAAATTTGAAGATAGTGTAAGAAGCCTCTGGGACAACTTCAAGTGTAGCAGCATCAGAATTATGGGGGTCCTAGAAGAAGAGAGAGAGCAAGATACTGAAAGCTTATTGGAAGAAATAATGACAGAAAACTTCCCTCACCTGAAAGAAATAGACTTACAAGTAAAGGAAGCACACAGAATCCCAAACAAAAGGAATCCAAAGAGGACCACACCAAGACACATCATAATTAAAATGCCAAGAGCAAAAGACAAAGAGAGAATATTTAAAGCAGCAAGAGAAAAACAGTTAATTACCTAACAGGAGAACCCATACAATTGTCAGCTGATTTCTCAACAGAAACTATGCAGGCCATATGTAAGTGGCAAAAAATATTCAAAGTGATGAATAGCAAGAACCTACAACCAAGATTACTCTACCAGCAAAGCTGTCATTCAGAATTGAAGGTCAGATAAAGAGCTTCACAAGCAAGAAAAACCTAAAGGAGTTCATCACCACCAAACCAGTATTACACGAAATGCTGAAAGGTATTCTTTAAGAAGAGGAAGAAGAAAAAAAAGGTAAACAGAAATTATGAAGAACAAATACATATCTATCAACAAGTGAATCTAAAAATCAAGTGAATTAAAAATCTGATGAACAAAATAAACTGGTGAATAAAATAGAATCAGGGGCATAGAATTGGACTGACAACTCTCAGGGGGAAAGAGGGGAGGAGGATGAGGAAGAGACTGGACAAAAATTGTACACCTATGGATGAGTACAGTGGGCCAGGAGGTAACGGCAGAGGATGGGGTGGGAACTGGGTAGAGGGGAGCTATGGGGGTAAAGGAGAGGAACATTGTAATAATCTGAACAATAAAGATTAAATTAAAAAAAATTCCAGAAAAAGGGAATAGTATATGCAAACACCCTGGAGCAGGAGCTTGGTGGGTGCTTAGGAGCCTGGCAAGTCAGAGGAGCTAAAAATGTCAGCATGGTTAGATCTCAGAGATGAAGACTGTACAAAGGGAGAGAATAGGCTGCAGAGGGAGGGAGAGACAACCTATTCAAGGCCTTCAGATCATGTTAAGGTTGACTTGTGAAAGTGTTTTATGTAAAAGCATTCCTATAATCAGACTTTCTTTGTGAAGAGATCTGGAAGGAAACCACTTCACAACAATGTTTCTGCTTTGCCACAGGAGTTCCATTACCAGCATCTTCACCTTCACAGTTCTCAGTGTATTTATCACACATACCCTAGCCCACTGCACTGCCCTGAGCTCCCTGTTACCCACCCAACCAGTATTATTAAAATATAAACAAAAGGTGAGTTATCATTAATCAGCCACTGAGAACTCAGCAGTTGCTACTGGCAGTTTCAGAAATGTCTTCCTCACTTACCACTATCTGAGGCAAATGAGTTGGAGAAGTCTGACTTTGATCTGTGGGGAGAAAAGAAACAAAAACCATTCATATGTCTTGCAAAGCCTTTAAATTCTCATCACACTGCTGAGGGGCTGAGGTGCACTTACTCTTTTCTCCCAGGGTAGTCAACATCATCGTAGGTCTCTTCTGAGATGGAATGTTGCCAAAAGGCCCCTTGACTGGGTGCTTCTTTTGTCAACCCTAAGGCCTCCACATACCCACCTGTAAGGAAAAGAGAGAAACCCCTGAAGAACGAGCACTACAATAAATGCACTCACACTCCCCACTGGCAATGGAGGCAAGAATAGGAGAAGGTAGATTGCATGAACTAAAACTGGTTTACCATCTTGGTGTCTATGATCCTTGGCAAACCACTTCTCCTTGCAAAAGCTCAGCTATGCATCTCTAAAGTTGGGATAATGATCAATAGCACCTACTCTTACATGATTGTGGCAAGGATTGATGCTAGTTCCCTAGTGAACCAGCAACTCCTTCCTCTTACTTGATGGTTCTTGCTCTAATCTCTGACCTCAAAGGCAGAAATCCTCTAGAGTATGACCCTGGGGCTCCATCCTTCACCAAAATGAGCTTATCCACTTTTGTGCATTATTGTCCCCTTAAAGTAAAATTTCTTAAATGAGTTGACTAAACGTATGTCAACATTTAATATTCATTAATGTTGGAATCAGCCAGAAGATGGTCTGCCAGATGGAACAATGTACTGGGGTGTTTGCACAAGTAGCTGGCCTGTTAAATGCAAGTAGTTTATTTCATAGCGCTGCAATTTTGTCATAACCATAAAACTTTCTCCTTTTTATCAGCTGGCATAGGTTAATATTTAGAGTATGGGTGATTTAGAACCATTTTCAAATATTAATTAGAAATAAGTAGTAACATATCTTCCAAATAAACAATAAGCAAATTGAGTTTTGTCTATTAATTAAATAAACCCAGTAACAAGATTTTATCCTCTGACAAGAAGTCAGTTAGCACACAGGCCACAAACTATCTCAATGAAGTCAGCTCTCTGAGGCATAAGGTCTTGCTTTTTCTTAAGGAGTTAGCAATGAATTTCTCCAAAAAAACAAAACAAAGATGCTGAACACAAAGTTGCTTAATTCTTAGTTTGGACATTTTTTCTTTCTTCTTTCTTAATTGTTCCTTTTGGCAGAGGCAAATGTAAATGTTTGTGATTTTATTTTCAGACATAGACAATTCCCAAAGTTACAGCTCTAACTTAGACATCTCTGATTAATGCTAGATACTCCATCTAGATACACCATTTCCATTTGCTTGTCTAAACATATTGCATTCCAAAACCAAACTCATGACTTCTCTCTGCAAATCTACTCTGCCTGCAATCTGCCCCAAAGCAATAAAAAGTGGCAATTCAATTTTCCAGTTGCTCTCGTCCAAACCCTTGCAGATAGCCTCACATCCTTTCTCTCTCATATCCCACTTCCAACCCACAGCTCTACTTTCACGTTACATCCTGAATCTAAACACATCTCAATGATTCTGCTATGACATCCTCCTCCAAGTTACTGTCATTTCTCAGCTTACTTATTGCAACAAACTCCTGACAGGTCCCCTGATTTATCTCACCTTTTGTTTTCAAGACAGAAGCCAGGATGGTTCTTTAAGACACAAGTATGATAACTCCATTTGTGTGCTCTAAACTTTCCATTCTTTAAAAAAAAATCCCATTTAGAGTGAATGCCAAGGTTCTTGCAATAGTCTAGAAAAGTTGCTTGTTATCTATGAGCTCATCTCCAAGTCTACATTCCTTCAGTCACTGCTGTGCAAAATGGCTTCTTGCCACCAACACAGCTAATGGCTTCTGCCTCAGAGCAGAATCACTACTTTCCCCCTCTCCCCAGAACATTTTTACCCTGTGGCTCACTTCCTCATCTGCTTAAGGTCTTTGAGATTGCACGAGCCCTTTAAAAATTACTACTTCTAATACTTCCACCAGCCTCCCTAATTCTCTTTCCTTTCTTTATTGCCCTTCTCTCCATTACATTTACTACCATTCCACACAGTGGCTATTTTATGTTTATATATTATTTGTTCCCTCTGCTAAGTATGTAACCTCCATAAAGATGGGAATATTTGTCTGTTTTGTGTACTGTTATACCCTCAGCTCCCTGAACAGTGCTGGCACATAAAAGGTGCTCTAATTAAAAAACAACAACAACAACAAAAAAAATAGCCGAAACTGGTTTGGCTCAGTGGTAGATCATTGGTTTGCAGACTGAAAGGTCCCGGGTTTGATTCCGGTCAAGGGCATGTACCTTGGTTGCAGGCATATCCCCGGTAGGGATGTGCAAGAGGCAACTGGTCGATGTTTCTCTCTCATCGACGTTTCTAGCTATCTCTCTCCCTTCCTCTCTGTAAAAAAATAAATTAAATATATTTAAAAAAAAATAAAAAAAATATCTTCAATGCATATATCTTCTAACAAGAGGCTTTTGTGTATTAAATTTATAGTGTCTGCCAATATTTTAAACTAGAGGTTCAGTGGACGAATATGTGTATGGGTCAAGGATTGATTGGAGCGATTGGGGCCTGCAGGATGCGGGGAGGCACCGTGGGAGGTTGGCCAGCTGCCGGAGGATGGCTGTAGGAATGCACTGACCACCAGGGGACAGCTTCAGCATTGAGAATCATCTGCCCCCTGGTGGTCAGTGCATGTCACAGCAACTGGTCAACTGGTTGTTCAGGCCTGTTGATCATTTGCTGTGACATGCACTGACCAGTCATGATGGCATGCACGACCAGTCATAATGGTCGCTTAGGTTTTTATATATATAGATTTATATATATTATCTTATTACATACCTTATATTTGTTCTATTTTCCTCCCCCCTTCATTTTCCTCTTTTTTTGATTGAGATTTCTTCTTTTTTCTTCATTTTGTCCTTTCCTTTTTTTTTGTTTTGTTTAAAAGGTATGTGTGTTATGCCTGTCTTTTAACAGTTACCCTACCATGTTTTAAAATTCAATTAGAGTATAATATATAGGAAAGGGCACACATCATAAGCTCAACAAATTGTCCCAAATTGAATTTATTAATGTATTCAACATACATAAAACAAATAAAAAAGCCATAGTGCCAATGACCTACACTGCCTTCTTGTGCTTTCTTTTAGTCACTATTACCTTCCACAAGGGAACCACTCTCCTTATTTCTAATACCAGAGGCGAATACTGCAAAATTTTGAACTTTATATTAACGGAATAATTTCAAATGTCCTTTTTGGTATGTCAAATTTCATTAAATATTAATTGTGTGAGAGTCATCTATATTGTTGGGTATAGTTCTAATTTGTTCAAGCCTATAACTATTCCATTGTGTGAATATATTGTAATTTATTTTTCCATTCTATTTTTGGTGGACATATGAACAGTTTCCAGTGTAAGGATATGATAAAAAAAAGTTCTATGAATATGTTATATGTCTTGGTAACCATATGTCTATTGGATATAAGAATAGGTATGGAATTGCTAGATCATAGCGCATATATATATATATATATATGTATATATATATATATATATATATATATGATTTTAACAGAAACTGCTGAACAGTTTTCCAATGTGATTATTCCAGTTTATAATCTCAGCAGCAGAGGAGAGTTCAGGTTATCCCATAACTTTACTAATACTTGATATAGTCTTTTTAAATTTTAACTATTTTGCTCGGCATGTAGTGTTATATTGTAGGTTTCATCTGCATTTCCCTGAGACGTGAACAGTTGTATATAGTGTACTTGCCTTTTGGATAACCTCTTTGGTGAAGCGTCTCTTTACCAGAGATATTTAGATAATTTTCCCAATTTTTTTCCTGATTAATTCCAATTTTATATATTCTGAATACAGGATGTTTATGGAAATATACAATATTTCCATTTTATATTTTCTAGATACAAAGATATCTAGTCCTTTGTTCTAAATCAAGTAACTTCTACTCTGTATGCCTTTTATTCTTTGTTATCTTTTGATGGTTATATCCTGGCTATTCTAACACTTTTAAGGCTAAAGTGAATATTGTTACTCTCAATTAAAAACCTTAGAAGGTTTCAAATTTGATTACCTTCCCAATGTATCTGCTATTAATATCAATGTTGGCACTAATATTGCTTTATTTTATGAATACTTTTGCTCAGCTTTTTTTCTTGCAATCAGAATTTTCTATGTGGGATTATTTTCCTTCTGCCTAGAAATTCTTTTTATTTATTTTTCCAATCAAAGGAGAAATACATGTTTTCAAAATAGGCTTATTGAATAGGAATATTAAAAAAACACTTGTATTTTTTCCAAATTTTTCTGTTTTATACCTACTCTCCTCAACTAAGCCTTTTGTGCTGCTCATCATAAGAATTGCATAAACTTATTAATGGGTTCAGCAGCCCTCTTTGTGCTTTAGCAGAATGTTTGGATTACTCAGAAAAATCTTCTTCAGCTGTTTTCATCATGGCATAATCCCTGAATTTAAAGGGACTCTCCATGGACATCATATTCAGGGCTCTCATTTAACTCTTTCATTTACTTCAACTTACTTTCCTCTCTTCCGCTTTCCTCCTATACTCTAAATAATTCCATCATTTCACACCTTAAGGCATGATTTTTAAATTAATGCTACCACTGTACTTTCTCATTCATTTCATTAGCTATGTCTCCCCTACCATATATTTTTTTAAAAGAAAAATTCTTTCATTGTGGTAAGAATACATTAAAGCTACCATTGTAACATATTTATAAATACACAACACAGTACTTGCTATAGGCACAGTCTTGCTTATTCTTAAAGGGTGGATGTAATTCTTTGGGGTCCCAAATTTATACAGAATTCTCCTATTATAAATTAACTCTGGGCAGGCCCTGAGGTGCAGCCCCTGTACTCTGCATGCAGTGCAGTCAGAACAGAGCTCAGGGGACTCAGAGCTCAGTAAAAACCCTCAGGGCAAAAGAGTAGCTTGGCACTCACTTACTTCCCAGGAGTCCTGTAGCTGCAGGTGTGTAGATGCTTTCTTTTTATATCAGTTCTGTGATACTTCCATAAATTTAAAAAGAAATCTTGTTTCTGTCAGGACAGTCAGATTATCTCATCTACTATATTGTCAGAAACTAAAGTTTGATTTATTTTCCTTTACTTACCAAAGTTTTGTTAGGCAGCTGATGGCCATGTTATGGAGATACAGAGAAAAATACCCAATGATCTCTGATTTTCAATGTGCTCACAGTACACCATGGCAGGGACACATGTACACAATGAATTATAATGTAAACATAATATGGTTTTCCAGAAATGAGAATAAATGAAGAGAACTAACAATTATTTAGCATAGGAACCAGCCACTTTAGATGCAGTGACAAAACAGCACTGGGAAATAAGCAGTAGCCGCCTCATTTGCACATGCGAGTAAGTAAAATTTCCAATGTTATAGGATTTGTATATAGTGGTCCTGAGTCCAGAAATTCTCAACTCTAAAGCCTAACATGGAAATGTAGTCATTCAGTTGTGAAATGTCATGGAAACAGGTGAGAGGAATTGTGTTCCTGGAGCGTGGAAAGCAGAGATAGACTGAGGCGAGTGAGGCCTCAGAAGAAGTGACTTTTGACATAGACCTGAAATGATTCACAGCACATCAACAGGCAGAGAATGAGCAGAAAGGCATTTCAAACAGAGGAAAGAGATCGAGCAAAGTTACAGAAACACTTAGCCAGTAAGCTGAGCATAGAGCAGGGGGTGTACAGGGAAGGTGTGTGACAGAGATGAGACTCACTAGCCTGGGGTCCTTAAGTCCATCTCATGATCACTACAAATTTATTCTGCTTACAACTCTGATTCTCACACTTTTTGAAATATCAGTGGTTTGCTATGGCTTATTGGGCTGGAGTGGACACCTGTTTTCTTTGTCTATCCAGTGTCTCCTTTTATGTTTTCTTTTCTGATTAATGGCCCTCTTATTTTCCTTGGGAAATCTAGCAACCTGGCATTAGGTAGTTTTATTAGATCTGATTCTACCCCCAGCTCTAGGGGTGAGTTTATGACCCAGCTGGATCAACCAGGGCATCAGATTCCCCATTTATAAGGACTGGTTCAGGGATGGCATGTGGCCTAAACAGAGCCTGTAAGATTTGCAGCTGGGCCTTTTCTTAAAACTGTTGAGAATATGACAATTTCCATTTTTTCTCTGGGTTCCTAAGAGGAAAGGGTCTGAACCTGTCACTGCTAGATGCCATCTTGCCTCCACATGGGTAGGATTTGTCCAAAAGTGAAGTGACCCAGAGAGAACAGAGCCAGGAGCAATACTGAGCTCTTATAGTATTGCTTGTGTCCCTGGATCCAGCTCTTCCCAGACTTTCTGCTAGGTGAACCTCCCTCCCTCCCTCCCTCCCTTCCTCCCTTCCTCCCTTCCTCCCTTCCTCCCTCCCTTCCTCCCTTCCTCCCTCCCTTCCTCCCTTCCTCCCTCCCTCCCTCCCTCCCTCCCTCCCTCCCTTCTTCCTTCTTCCTTCTTCCTTCTTCCTTCTTCCTTCTTCCTTCTTCCTTCTTCCTTCTTCCTTCTTCCTTCTTCCTTCTTCCTTCTTCCTTCTTCCTTCTTCCTTCTTCCTTCTCTTCCTTCTCTTCCTTCTCTTCCTTCTCTTCCTTCTCTTCCTTCTCTTCCTTCTCTTCCTTCCTTCTTCTTTCTTTCTTTCTTTCTTTCTTTCTTTCTTTCTTTCTTTCTTTCTTTCTTTCTTTCTTTCTTTCTTTTTCTCTTAAGATAGTATGATTTGATTATTGTTACTTATAATCAAATGTCTTAACTAGCATGAAGGAAAAATGCAGCCTACAGTAATGATATCATAATATAGCATCAGTGTGTCAATTACTTGGGCCTACAAAAACAAATCCATTAGGATCTGGTAAGTTAAAAAGAAGGAACAAACATTTGCTGAGTATCTATTATGTGGCATACCTTTCAATTTAGTCTTCAAAAAACCCTTGTGAGGCCCACATTATGATCTCTTTTTATAAGTAAAGAAACCCAGCTGCAGGAATATGAAGTTACTTACCCCATGGTTAATAAGTATTAGCATCTAGTATGAACTCAGGTCTTCTGCCTCTACATCCAGTGCTCTTTCCACTACTGCTCAGCTGCCTTACTAGGCCAAGTTACTTGATACATAAAAAATGTTCAATAAATATTTAGAAAATAAATTAAAATCTTGGCAATGTATCATTTAAAAATCTAATATATAAAAGGCCAGTGGACGTAATGCCGTAACACCATAATGACCAAATGACTGGACACCAGGAGGTGCATTGATGGGTCACGCGGTGGCAGTGGGTGGGACTCTGAGTCTCACGTGATTTTGCATACTGGGCCTTTAGTAATATTATAATGGTGAAGAGAACCAAAAAGAAATGCAACTTACATTGGCCTTGGGAGTGCCTGGCCAGCTTTGTGTCTTGAGGGTAGGCCTTTCTCTGGATGCTGTCAATCACAGCATCCTGCTCTCTGGCCAGCGGGCTCTTCATATGTCTCTGAATTTTCATCACTGGGACTTTTCCAGGTGTCTCTTCATAGGAACCCACCTAAACACATGCAACAGGGAAAGTACTGAAGGGCTTTGACTTACCTGTTTAGTTCTCTGGTTGCTCATGCTATTTATTAATTCCTCACAGATAGCACTTATTATTTTATTTAATTCTGTCTTACTAGACTCTAAATTTCATGAGAACTTTGTCTTTTGTTCATCTATGAATACCCAACAAATGCTGGTCACAGAAGGACAGCTGGACAAAATGGAGCCCTGACCAGAGGCAGGTTCTTATAGATTTAATCTCACTTAATCTTCATGACACTTCATTGGGGAAATATCCTTAGTGCTTTGGATAAAGAGTTTGGAATGTTAAATAACTGACATCTGGTCACACAGCTAGTAATATACACAGGCAGGACTTGACTTTATTCCCCTGTGCTTTTGATCACTAAGGAATACTTGGCTCATTTCGCCTGAAATTTTACCTTTTTACCCACCATCCTTCCATTCCTATTTAACTCTTTCTAGCATTTGTTGAATACTTATCGAAGTTGAGAAAACATGCTATCCTTTGGAAATGGAGAGGTGCTACCTACACAGTAGTTTGTATTCATAGAAACAATACATACAAATAATTAAGGTATAATGTGGCAAGCTTTTCACAACAATATTGCTCACTGAGATGAAACAGAGATTAGGAGGAGGTAAAATCTCTTGGTTTTAAGAGATAGGGTTTGGAAGACTTCAAAGGCAGGCTTTTATTAAACTGTGTTTTAAAATATAAGTATGAGATTTATTGAGGGGCTAAAGGATCAACTGAAAGATGAAAAAAAAATGTATGAGTAAAGGCATGTGGTATTTAGTGTCCCTTGAGGATTGTATGGAGGCTACTGATAAGGGATGCCTTGAAGGGCCAGGGGGAAAGAATAGGGGAAGACAGGAAATGAGACTAAAAAGACAAGATAGAATGGGGCTGAGTTGGGAAGGGTTTTGCATTGGAGGCAGCTTGTGGGCTTCACCTCACAGTGACAGGGAACCAGGTAGGAAATAAAGTTGTTCAGATTTGCACTCCAGAAAGATCTGGCTAGACTATGGGAAGAAACATTGGAGACAGAGGAAAATCCGAACATTTCTGGCCATCTAAGTGTTTTCTGATGATCACATGACACAGGAGAAGGGATTACTGCCCTTCTGATCACAAGTGGACATGAGGGTTGCCTATGATGACATATTTGAAAGTTCTTGAAAAAAGCTAAAATAACCAACAGATAAAAGGCATAGAATTTCCCAAGGTCTTGGTGGGATCTGAACAAACTAAGAGGACAGTGTTAGGAGGGGCATTCCTTTTAGTCATTTAGCCAAGAATGAGTTTTTAAATGGGAAAAGTGAAAGAAGTAGGAAAGTCAATGTTTCACACGGGTATGGTGACTGCCTGCTCACAGTGTAGCCCATATAAAGTAGTGCATATTGATCCTCATGGGGCCTGTCCTTGGGATTGTGCCCTAGAGTCAGTTTGTATAACAGTAGATTATGTATCTACTGACTTACAGTTTGTATTTGACTCCAAAGAGCACTGCCCAGTAGACTGCCCACCACATTTGTCTAACACATTCCAAATAACTTCTAATAATATCCAAAACTCAAATCTACTCAATGAATATAGGAATATGTCCAATCACATACCTGGCTTCTGTCACATGCCCAGCACTGAGAACACATCTCGCTTTTGCTCTTTAATGGTCAATACACCTTAACCAGGCTCCTTTACTGCCTTTCTCATAAGCTCCTGATTAATACTTTACTGACCTCTGACATCATCCCCCATTTATGGCCCTGGCTCTGCCCCTGCCCTTTACCTCTGGCCTTAACACACAGTGCTGCTTCTCTGGCTTTGATTCCTGTCTTTCTCTTTTTAAAAGATATGTTTTTATTGATTTCAGAGAGGAAGGGAGAGGAAGAGAGAGATAGAAACATCAGTAATGAGATAGAATCATTGATTGGCTGCCTCCTGCACACCTCCTACTAGGAATTGAGCCCACAACCCAAACATGTACCCACGACCCAAGCATGTGTTAAACCACTGAACCATACTGGCCAGGCTGGTTCCTGTCTTTCATAATTCTCTGCATTATACTGCTTTGTGATACTCTGTAAACACCCAATCTGGTCCAGCCCTATCCTAGGCTGACACATTAGCTCAGGCTAACACCACCAACAAGCTGATATATCTAATCCCTGCAGAAGAACCTGAGACAATTTGATATTATAAGGTTTCTATACAGGTAGATATTATACAGATATCTAGAATTTTTTAAGCACTAGCAGTATTTCTGATGGAATCTATTATTTAAGCCTCCAATCACACTGCTTTAGAGGGAGTACTGTCAACTGGATAGCAGTACACACATATATAAAGTATTTAGTATTAATAAACTATCAACCAACCAGTCAATCAATAGACAATAATACATTTCATTTTTATGGTAAGTTATGGCTTACAAAGCACTTCCATGTACATTATTTTATCTTATCATCATGACTGAGGTAGGAATGGGGATGATAGTCTCATTTTATGGATGAGATGACAGAATTTAAGAGACAAAGAGCACAGAATCCTCCCTCCAGGCATGTGCAAGTGCACTGTTGGCACCTGAGCATCTGTGTCTTGCCCACTGGGACCCTTGCTGGACTCATACCAGCCCCACCCTACTGCAAAGGCCTGCGAGGGGCTACTCAGTGGAAAATCCCAGGCTGGAGCTCAGTGTTGTTGTCACGTTCTTATCTTTGTTAAAATGCATCTTCTGCCCTTGTCTGAGAACTGCATGCCTCACTCTCTAAAAAGTCACCCCGTGAATGGATCATGTGACACAGCTGTAGTGTACTGTTGGGCTAGAGCCCTGGAACAAAGATACCTTGCAAATTAGGTCTGGAAATAGATCCTTTTCTGTTTTCTGAGGTTCCACTTCATGTGGCTCTTTTTCCTTTATTTTTTTATCTTGATCTTCACATTGAGGTCTGAAATGTGAAGAGATATCCAGGAAAAAAAGGGAAGTTTAGAGTATTTAGATAATAGTGTACCATTCAATCCTTAAAAAAATGAATGGGAAAAATGAATTTAAACACATGTCAATTTTTCTCTTCATTTTTTTTTTTAAGGTGAAGGGGACCAGGAGCAGGACAACCATAGACAGTTTCTCTGAGTTTCTGTCTGCTCCAATCAATGCCAGAGTAAGTTCCTACTCAAAATTGCCTAATAACTCCTCATTGCCTGTAGGATAAAACTTAAGTCCCATAATGGTCTGGCCCATACTTTTCTTTCTACCCCATCTCCCTCTGCGCCATCCTGCACTTTTGTTCTAGTCTAGACTCTGACAATCCCCCCAACCTATGCTACCTTGAGCAACTCTCCCTTTTTACTTCCATTACTTTGTCAGACATACCTTCCACATCTTCTATTGCTGAAACAAACAGCACCCTTCTCAATTTGTCCAAGTCATATTAACTCTGGAATATACCTCTGGTTCTCTCCAGCAGTCATGCCTTATCTGTAATACCCTGTCTTTCCATCTTGTGTTATAATGTAGTGCCTATGCATCTGTCTCCAATTCCTCTGCTTTGTCTTGACAACTACCTAAAAATCAAATTACAAAGAGGCAGGGCTCTCTTAATTACTCCCCACTGGTGCTGGTTGATCCAGGGTAGCAAGAGCAGGGCACGGTGTTCGCAATGATATGAAGGACTTCTGTGCACCAGTATGTGGACAGCAGCTGCCCTGGAAAAGGATAGAGTCAAGGCAGAGAGTGAATGAGAAAACAGGACCAAGGACAGAATGCTGGGGAGCATCAGCATCTACATGAGAATTTCCATTTCTGGCCTTATCATGAACTAGATGGTTCTACAACCATGTTTTGATGGAAGGCAGAAAAATAAGGGCCCTTCAGTGAAAGAAGAGGTAGGCAGGAAGAAGAGAGAAACATTAGAAAAGAGTGCTGTTCTGAAAGACGAGGGAGGGAAAGAGTTTTAAGGAGTTTCATTCATTCATCTAATTCCTGAGCACTCTGGTCCACCATTGAAGCATTTACTGGTTTTCCTGTGATAAACAGGGGCTGTGAAATGAGGACTGGGTCCTAATGCCCATTGTCCCTCTTTCTAAAAGTCTAAGATTAACCTTCCTAAAAATCAAATTTTCTCATGTATAAATGAAAGGTCACAATGCCAATTTCCATGGTTGCCATAAAAATGAAATGTGTTGAAAGTGTTGAAAGCCTGCCCTCTTCTTCATCACAGCATATACTGAGTTAGAATCACCCAGTTTTTTTGTTCCCATTGCAATTACTGATATTTCCTCTAAAGCAGGGGTGGGGACAAGGGCCATTTAGATATTTATAACATCATTCATGGGCCATACAAAATTATCAATTTAAAAGTTAGCCTATCATATTTGGTCAACCACTTAAGTTACTCCTAATGTCTTGGCATGGCCAGACCAAATGATTTTGGGAGCCTCATACGGCCCTTGGGCCGAACATTCCCTACCCCTACTCTAAAGCATTTACCTGCCTTATTGACGTATTATGTGCTTTGTAGTCCATCTTCCTACTCCCCCAGGCCTTGCCCAAGAGTTTACACACATATAATATTGCGATTTATAGGAATAATATTGTGGGGGAGAGGGTGCAGTATCTCTGCTTTGAAACTCTTTCATGGTTCTCCCTGACCTATCAGATAAAGCCCAAATTTGCACCATCCAGTACAGTGGCCACAGTCCACATGTGGCTATTGAACACTTGAAATGTGTCTTGTTCAAACTGACTGGGCCAGGAACACCAAGAACAAGAAAACATGGGCCTTGCCCTCAAGGAGCTCACAGCAAGAGGGTGGGCAGGAGGGTGAGAATCAACAGGCATGCTAATAAACAGAATGCAGTGACACTAGTGCTAACTCATGTGCACCTTACAGTGGTGCCACAGGGAAGGGACCGTTATCTCTCCCTAGAGGAGGGGAATCAAGGAAGGTTTCTTGTAGGAGGGACATTTGATGGTTAGTAGGGAGTTGCCAGATCATTAAGTTGGTGTGAGGTAATTAAATGGGAAAAGGCAAAGGGACCTGAGACAGCATGGTGTGCTTGGGAAATATAAGTTCTTGGGGATTCCCATGATAGTTCCTTCCCTGCTAGATTGTGTGACACTTCCTCTACTCCAGGAGTCGCTGAAGAGAGTGGTGTGGCCTCCGTAACTGGTGAAGTCCCAGTGGCTTGAAAATGGCTCCCATGTGCTGGGACTCAGAACATGTTTGCTGAATGAGAGCATCGTGGTTGGAGCAAGGCGATAGGGATGGGTCCTTGAGTTCCTTCTTTGCATCAGGTGCCTGGCCAGGACTGGAGTGCTGAGCCAGGTCAAGCACTGGAATCAGAGCTATGCCATATGGGTCACTAGTTTGGTCATCAGGGGCTGGATTACTCCCTTTCCTTCTGAAGATAAAACTCACCTATGTTCTTGGTGGAGAAAACTCTTCCAAGGCTGAAAGTGAAGAGGAAAATGGTCATTTTCATAAACCTACCCTCACCAACTAGGTCTCTGCTTGGTTACAGATAATTAGAGACCAGACTGCAAAGAGAGGTGGGTGAGATATCGGCACAAGCAAATGTAGACACTGACAACAGAAGCTTCCACAAACTGTTCCCAGTGGAGCCGAAGGTCAACCCGAAAAGAAAACAAGCATTTTTGAAGTGACAGTATATGCCAGCGGGAATGTTTGATTTCACTTAGAAAAATAAACTATTTACTGAATGCATACCTTTCCAGGAATGCATCTGTAGAATAGAAAGCTTTTAAGTCATATGAAATACAAATTTGTAATATTTGCGCAATACAGTATTTCAGTGGACAAATTGGTGAGTGTGCAGACTATGCTGGGAATTCTTCTGTGCTGATCATGTGTCCAGTTACCCAAATTCAGCTTTCCTCTGGTCTGGATTTGACTCCATTAAAACCGTGTCTCACTGATGACAACACAGCCCCTCATATATTTACTCATCACAGCACTGGAGAAAACAGAGACTATCTCAGCATCCAAAATTCTGTCACATAGTCCAGGCCCAGCAGCTCAGCATGCCGGGCCTCCATTCAGGGCCCACTGGTTTCTCTTTCCTGTATCATCTAGCCACTCGGATGGCAGCACTGGTAGGATCAGGGATACGGACCTCATCTCAGATCTCTGCCCTTCCAGGCCCTGAGTTCTCACCGGTATAGTGGAAGCAGTGTGCCCACTCACCAGTGATGCTGTGGATGAAGTTCCTACCATGTACGCACCAGTGCCTGCACACAGACCTGGTCCATACCCGCCTGAGCACACGAGGGACTCACTGATAGACACGGAGATAGTGAGAGTAAAAAGAAATGACAATTGTCAGAAAACAATGACATCACAGACTTGAGGTTTGTGTGAAGGCAACCAGTAAGTGCACCTGCAGGGGACCAAGAGTGTCTCTCGAGGAGGAGCGTGGACTGTGCCCACTCAGCCCCCTGCGCTCTGTCACCAGGAAAGGGTGACTGCAGTTTCCAGCCACAAGGAGAGAAAATTCTAAGAGGAACTTAAACATGTTTGAAGGCTGAAAGTTTTAGTTTAAAATGAAGAATACGTTCACGCTGCTTTGTTTTGAGAGGGAAACAATTTGGTCCTTCAGAGAGCGCACTGCACAGAGAAGCTGATTATTTGCCCACATTGCCAGGTAAGGGAAGCATTTTACTAGAATGCTTCTGTACTCGCTAGTAGGAATAATAATCACCTATAGTTTTCTAGCCACTGATGAGCAGTCTTTTCTAGTAAGCAAGAAAACTGGAGCAGAAAGTTAAAGGTTCTGGACCAGTGGTCAGCAAACTCATTGGTCAGCAGAGCTAAATATCAACAGTACAATGATTGAAATTTCTTTTGAGAGCCAAATTTTTTAAACTTAAACTTTTTCTAATGGCACTTCTTCAAAATAGACTTGCCTAGGCCATGGTATTTTGTGGAAGAGCCACACTCAAGGGGCCAAAGAGCCGCATGTGGCTCAAGAGCTGCAGTTTGTTGACCATGGCTCTAGCCTAATGGTACCTAGTGAGAAAAATAGAACCCTAACGGGCCCAGTCACAGCGTTAGGTGAGTGCCTACTGGGTGCTAGCTACAGTGCTGGGTGCTTATCTCCTCTGTCTCACTTAGTTCTCATAGCATTTCAGTGAGATATATACTGGGCCCCTTCTGCACTGACTGCCACTACAGGTGTGGTAACCACAGGCACACACTCCCTTGCCCTCTTGGAGATCACACCAGAAGATACAATGGGAGCTGGGAGAGATCATATGTATGGACCAGACTCCAGGCACTGGCTTTTATAGTTATTCTCATAGCAATCTTAGAGGTGGGTATTTCTGTTACCTCTCTTCTACAGGTGAGGAAATGGCTCAAGCTGCATAGCCAGCAGCTGGGATCGATGCCAGGGATGGTACTTGGGCCCTAATCAAGTTGCTACACTGCCTCCAAAGTGTCATCTGGCGCCATGCCTGCCAGGAGGCCAGAGGATGTGCCTTCAAGGTTTGGACAGCTTGTGAAAGCCTGGGATGTGCAAATTTGTCTTGTGCCAAAGATATCTTCCCCCCGAAGAGACAGTTAGTAAAAGCCAATGGTGCTGGGTACTGAAAATGAGGGGCTGGGAGTGGATGAGGATCAGTGTTTCCCATTCCATCACACATCTGCCTCTGACACTGGGACTCAGGCTTCAGAACCTTATTAGCTGGAATCTAAGCCTCAGACATCAGGGGAAAACTGACAACAAGGACCTTTTCTTCCTCCTAATAGAAATTACTTCAGAATCACCTCTGCACACTGTTTTAATTTGAAAGTTGTAAGAAGAAAGGAAGTGCCCGGTTGGCATGACTGAGTGCTTGAGTGTCAACCTATGAATTGATTTCTGATCAGAGCACATGCTCGGGTTTTGGGCTCGATCCCCAGTGGGGCTGTATAGGAGTAGCTCATCAGCAATTCTCTCTCATCATTGATCTCTCTCTCTCTCTCTCTCTTTCTCTCTCTCTCTCTCTCTCCCTTTCTGAAATAAATAAAAAATACATATATTTAAAAATAAAGAAGAGAGGAAACAATACCTTTTGGCGTTCTTCAATTCCAACTTCATAAGTTGCTAAAATAAAGATGAAAATAATTATAGCAGTTCCTTATAGTACTGGTTTTGTACAGTACCCAGTGTGAAATCAATTATGCAAGACCACAGAGTTCAGTGTTCTCCACCTTCACACGGATCTCTGTGAGGCTTTGTCAAGGTGGTTTGGGAAGTTCTGGGTCAATGACCACAGTTTTAATTTTGTGGGGATTTCCAGGAAGGAATGTATAGTCAATGAAGACATTTGAAACAATTTTGAGTTTCCTGTTTGGGTAAATACATTCCTTCCCTATGATTAAGAGAAATCACTGAGATTGATTGAGTGTTACCACTCAGAAGACAAACTTGAAAGGAAAAGGAAAGGGGGGAAAAGAATCAGAAACAGTTTACATCCCATTTCAACAAAATGATTGCTAAAGAGGAGCCAGACCACCAACTTAGACCTTTTGATTTATTTCAATAGTTCTGTGGATATTATTTAATGACATGATGCCAACCTAACAAACATGAGTAGTGGCAAGAATTTGAGTTCAAAACCCAGTCCTGATACTACCTGTGGATGGAAGCACATTACTTCATTTCTTTGAACCTAATCTTACTCATCTGTGAAATGGGGTCAGTTGGTACCTGCTATACAGAGATAATGGGAAGATTAAAGGAGTTGATGTAAGAAACTTAATGTATCTAGCAGGTCACCATTGTATAGAAAGTGACATTTTTTGACAAAGTTGCTAGTTTGATGTTTCTTTGCTTAAAGTTATCCATAAAAGTTTTCCCTTACTGTTAATGAGTGCATAATGAGTGGGACCTCCCTCCCCATTTCTTTTTTTTTTCTTTTTCTTTCTCTGATAGAGTCCTGAGGCTTTAGTTTAGAAAAACTGACCAAACATCATGCTGCATTTCTAAGCTATAATTATTCTAAACATACAACCCATTCTTAAAGGAAAGAAAACCCCAGGTTTTTTGTAGGAACTACCCATGTGGAATTGTTGACACACAGACCTAATATTCTGGGTGGGTGATCAGTAATATGTATAATAAGTCAACTTGGGTAACTGTAAACTGTTATTTTTACTGGTTTTTGAGTCAAACATTCTGCTAATACTCGCTTTAAAAACTTTGTTTAGCTATTGATATATTTAAAATGACCGATTATGACACAGATGGCCTCATCCAAAGTATAGATATTTTTTTTCCAATTTAAAAAATATCTGCTTTCTTCCTCCAGTTTATTGACCATATATATTTATTTAGAGAATTAACAAATCATGGTCTCTTTGCTTCTCCTTGGCATTGGGTGGGGAAAGATATTATAATTCTGTCTTAGATATGGGGCAACCAAGGCTCAATTTTTATTGACAAGGCCAATAAAAATGGGTGATACAGTCCCTTCCATAGCCTGGCTGGTGGAGCAGAGGACTGTAGTTAAGTCCCCAAAAAAGGGTAATGCATGCACAGTTAAAAATATATTCATAATTTAATGCTGCTTTTTAAACAAAGTTTAATAGTAGTATGTCTTGCCATCAAAACTTTCTCCCGGGATAGGAATGTGAAGTTCTAAGGGCTGTACCACAAAGGGTCAGGAAGGGACTAGAAATGCACAGCACTGGAGTCCTTGCTCACATTTCATGCCGAGTTAGATAACCCTCTCCCCTGAACAGCAGCATCCCAGCCAGGAGAAGAGATAACTATCAGAGGGGAGAATGGAAACCTTCTTGAAGGAGAAGCAACATAAAGTGGTGGGAAGATCATGGACCTCAGAGGCAGTCTGAGCCCATTTCATATTATAGCTCTGCTACATAGCCCTTATGTGACTTTGGTTACTCAATCTCTGACCTTGAGTTTCTTGTCTCTCAAAGTGGATTAAAATCACCCTATCAGCAGGATGTACACAGAAGACCTAACGCAGAACTGGGACCCATCACACAAAGTCAGTAAATGCTAGTGTTTATTCTGGCACCAATATGTACACCTTTTGTAGAAAATTGACTGATCCTACAGGCAGAACAGAAACATAGAAACTTGTGGAAATGATATAAGTCCCTGTTTCTTCCCTGAAAGGGTCTCTTTTTTTTCACATAAAGTTCTGAGCTTTTTCAGCATACCAGAGGCAGAAAGACGTAACTCTGAATGATTGGTCAGAGCCATTAAATGAATCCTATGCTCTTATCCAGGCTAACCATAGGGACCTAATTCCCATGGTCTGTTATCTTCTTCTCCATATACGGGGCTTCCAGGGACTTCAAGAAATACATTGCAAGAAGAGAGATGAAGTTTGTATAGGAGGACAAGGAAAAAAAATTAATCGCCATATCTTGATCTTTCCCTCCCACATAGTGACAAAAGGCAAAGAATCTAAGCAGATCAGTGAAGGAAAGACCAGAAGAGGGCAGAGAGAAGGCAGCGCTGAGTCTTGAGATAGCACGCATGCTCAACTGGATGTATTTATAGTTATAAGAGACTAGACAAAGGAGGGGGAATTAGATGGTAAAGCAGCATGGCTGTGGATGTTTAACTTCATAGTCAGCTGGGGGAAAATCCCATTTTTGACACATTTTCATTCCACACGGGGTTATAATATTAAATGGCTTAGCAGACTTACAACCAGCAATTTCTTTTGCGGTGCACAGGTTAATGGAGTTGCCAGAGTATCTCAGATATGAAATTGTTGCCTCATAATTATGTGGTTCTTCAAATTCATCACTGAGAAGCATGGAGAAAAGAAGGTTAGTTAAAATAAAATGTTTCTTTAAAAATATTGTAAAACTTTTTTGTACTTTTTCCTCATTAGAGAGGTAATATAAGTATGTCTGGCCAATATGGTAACCTGAGCAGACATGGAAGGCAACACCATCCCTGTTCCAAAGACATAGGAATTCTGGATAAAATATTACAATTCTAAGATTTATACAAAGAACACCTAACTCATCTAGAAATCAGTAAGGTAAAAATCTCCAGGCTCCAGACATCGAGAGGAAATGCACAATTAAATATGTAAATGAGAACTGTAACCAAGGGACTCAGAGGCAAATGGGAACCAAATAAAGATCTTAGCGACTAGTCCACTGGTGACCTAAGGTCTGACTTGGAAGTTACGTCTGAGCCTCATTTGAATGGGAAGCTGAAACTGAGCCATCAGCATGAAGTCCAGAGTCACAAAATGCCACTCCATCTGCAAAAGAAATTCTAGAACTATCGGTGCACTCTCCTAGATTCTGAACAGGAAGACTGCTGCCTGACAATGGCCATTAGAGCTAAGAGAGAGTCCCCATGAGATATTAGAACCTTGCACAACTTGGGTTGCAGGGACTGTGTAGTTCCAAGATGCAAAGCCAAAACGGTGCTTGAAACCCAACCCTCCCCTCTGTTAAAGCAACTCTGAAATTACTCCGTAAACATTCGTCCATACCTTGGATATCTATGGTTTCTAAAGAAATAGTCCTCACTATAAATAAGTTTATAGTCACAGCTGCACACCTCATAGGAAAGGAGCCACCATAGATAGTTGGAAGTTATAACTCGGGAGAATTAAATAACAGAAAATGACATGAATGTGATTTTAAAATAAATACATTTTATGTGTTCAAAGAAATAAAATGAGGAACAAAATTCACTAGAGGGTGTGAAAAAACATGTGGAGTAGGAGACAGGAGAAAGAAATTATAGAAATAATAAATATAGTTCTTAAAAAAATTTTTAATGTATACGTTGAAAAGTAGATTGGGTGCAGCAAAAGAGAGAATTGGTGAATTAGTTAAATCTGAGGAAGTTACCCAGAAGGTAGCACAGAGAGATTAAGAGATGAAAAATATTAAAAGAAAAGTTAACAGTAGGGAGGAAAGAATGAGAAGGTTCAATACACACACACACACACACATACACAAACACAAACACACACAGTATCCCCCAAAATGTATACACATACCTTGAATAATTATAAAGGCAACGTTTATTAATAAGAAAATGGCCCAGCCAGTGTGAATAGTTGAGCATTGACTCATGTACCTAGAGGTCACTGGTTCGATTCTTGATCAGGGCACATACCCAGGTTGTAGCCTTGAATCTCTGGTGGGAGCCATGCAGGAGGCAGCGACCAATGTTTCTCTCTCTTTAAAATTCAATAAAAACATATTTTAAAAAGAATAAAATGGAATTAAAATATTAAATAATAATATGATGGTGAGAGAAGGCTATGGGAATTATTCTCAGGTCTTTATATTGTTTAAGAGCAGGGTATAGATTTCAACTAACATCAGACTTAATTGTAGATGTCTAAATTTAACTATAATCACTAAAAAAGACTGAAATAGGATAACTTCTCAACTGGTAGAAGGAAAATATGCCACAAGAAAGCTTAAATGTTTAAGAAGACAGAAAAGGAAGAAAAAATACAAGTAAAGAAATTTCATAGTAAATTTAAAACATGAAATATAATGGGAAACAGTCAAAATAGATCAAGAATCATAGAAATGCAGAGATAAAACTACTCTAATAAAATATAGATTATCGGACTTGATGTCTTAAAAACCCAGTTAATCCTGCTACAAAGCAACAGACAAGCCAAAGCGTTGGCATTGATGAATGGAAAAGAGAACCAAACTAAATGCTAACCAAAAAGAAAGCTTAGGTAGGTATATTAATAGTAGATCATCTTTAGCATGACTGTTCAAGAAAATGAGAGAAGGTATACACACATGAATTAATCAGTAATAAAAACAACTAAAATTTCCCCAAGACTTCAAGGATGATTCAACATCAGAAAATCTGTCATTGCAAGTAATCATACTGGAACAATGAAAGTGAAAAAAAGAACAAAACACCTACTCAGATTATTTTAATAGATGCAAGAAAGCATTTCAGGTAGATAAACTTTCTTAATTAGATTAACCTCCAAAAATGTCACAATAGCAAAGTGGAATAAAAAGTGTTAATATGTAAACTCTATTAGGAACTACTGCAATAGAAAGACAAAGAAACCATTAGAAAATTGGACAAAAGCATATGGTAGATATCACAGAAGCAAACAACTAAAAAGTTTATAAGCAAATTCACAACCTCACACTAAATAGGGAAAAATAGAAGACAATGAAAATTTGATTCCACACCCTTCAATTTAGCAAGAATCTTAAAGTTTGAGAAAACATCTCATTTAGCAAGAATATGGAAAATGAGAATTCTTCATACAGGCTTGAGAATATGAATTGGAACATCTATTTTGGAGAATAATTTTTCAATACCTAGTAAAACTAAAGTTATTTACTCTTGTTTAGCCCTTTTAACTGTAAATTAAAAAAAACACACCACAACAACCTAGAGCAGTGGTCGGCAAACTGCAGCTCGTGAGCCACATGCAGCTCTTTGGCCCCTTGTGTTTTTAGCAAAGGCCAGCTTAGGAGTACCATAATTAAGTGAATAACATCATACATACCTATATAGTTTAAGTTTTAAAAATTTGGCTTTCAAAAGAAATTTCAATCATTGAACTGTTGATATTTGGCTCTGTTGACTAATGAGTTTGCTGACCACTGACCTAGAAAAACTTGCTCATATTTACCTGTTATTATATGAGAATTATTGTTGCAGCATCATTTGAAAGGTTGAAAATTTAAAACAACCCCTTCATGTTCCTCATTAAAGGAATACATGAACATACTGTGATATATTGTTTATATAAAGAATATAGGCAATGTGTAAACAGAATGGATAAACTAGTCTTACATGCATTAACATATAATATGAAAACACAGCTTTGGAAAAAAATCAAGTTGTAGAAGAATAAAATAAGATGCCATTTATACAAAAATGTAAAATACTATACCTTTAACAGATATGTGAGTTTGTAGCTAAAGTGTAAGAAACATACTAAATGAATCTACTCTCGTATTCTCAGCTGAAGTTGCCTTTGGGAAGGGAGAAAGAGAAAAGGGACTGGGGAGTGAAATGAAAGGAACTTCAACTGTGCCTGTAGCAAATGTAAAATACCAATTTCACATTGGATGTGGACAGTAGAGGGGAGAAAAATTACCCATAACTCTCCCACCTTAACACAAGTGAGGTCTCAGTACTTTGGTATTCTTCCTGGTTTTATTTTCCATTTGGAGCTATATCTGCATAGTTGTTACACACAAAAAGATGGGAACACTCTCTTTTCCTTTTTTCTTTTCATTTATTATTATTATACTAGAGGCCCAGGGCATGGATTAATACACTCGTGGGAAGTGAAGCCAGCGGGGATCAATCCTCTGTGGGAACGCCACTCATCCTGGTCAACTGAGTGGCATGCCCACTATGGAATAGCACTGTCCACCAGATGGCAGCTCCTGCATTGAGCATCTGCCCCTTGTGGTCAGTGTACATCATAGCGACTGGTCGACTGGACATTCTGCCGTTCAGTCACTGGGCTTTTATATATATAGATATTAAGTACATTTCACCCAATTATTTTTTCTTTTTTGTTTGGCCACTTTGGGTATTTTCAGGTTCTGCCCTCTCCCCCTACCATGGTTTCTTTGATACTTTAAATATGTTTGAATAGAAAACATAAAAAACTCTAAGGCATCATAATTTCTCCCCTCACTCTTTGGCTCCCCTTCCCCTGCATGAAACAATCAAGAGAAATTTTCTTAAAATATAAACTATCCCATGTACTTCATGCTCCAGGCTAACAATCTCATTGGGTTTACGGTAAATTAACTTTATTAATAAGAAACAATTTGTGAAAAAAATGAAAGATGTTTAATCACTGTCTTGCACTACTTTTGTCAGAAATGGATATACACACGACTTCAAATGATCAGAAAGAATTTCACTCAAATGTAAAAAAAAGGCATCTTCAGATCTACTGTCTTAGAAAGGCAGAGTCAGGATTAATGTGAAGGGAGAAAAAAGATAATATAGATACATTTAAACCACCCTTTTTCTCCTTGACAATGTCTTTTATCTTTTTTTCTGGTCCATTAAAACCAGACCTGAGATCTGCCTTGATTTAATGCAGTGTGGGTCAATAGAACTTGGGTTGCAGGGAAGAAATAACTCGATGAATTAAATATATCTCTACTTCAATTTCTTTGTTTCCACATTTGTTAAGTCTATTGTCTGACTCCAGAACTATAGACATCATTGGGAGGCAGCGTAGAATTATAGACAGACTTGGCTCTTGAGGTCAGCCCAGCTCTTCTACTTTCTAATGATAAGATACATTCCTTAATCTTTTGTTTTTTACTCATCAAAACAACAATAATAAAAATCTGATTTAAAAGTAGGCTATTGATATTGAATGCAATATTTGCCCTCTTCACATAGACCTTCTACAAAAATATGATAGTAATATTATTATGCTGGAGGACAGAAATTATAGTGTTCTTTAAAAAAAGGTTGGGGTTTGCATTTTGGAAATTACTGGCCTAGTATCAGGTTTATATCTTTTCTGATTTTCTTATAGGAAACCTCTCGTAATTTAAGTACTAGATAATAAAACATTAGTGTTTCTTGAAGATCTTATCAACATTATCTGTGTTCAAGAAGAAATAGTTCTGTAAATACAATGCGAGCATTAAAGATGATTTACACAAGCAGATGCTTTCCTATTGGCTTGGACCCTTAGAGATCTACCTGTAAAACAAATTTTTGAACAAGTTGGCTTTCTTTGGCTGAAGCATGGGCCCATGCCCTCCTCTCATTCTTGTTTGCATTTGCTAAGTTTA